ACACAGGTTCATACACATACTCAGGCACATGTGAGGCTGATGTATGGATATACAGTGCACACATATGTTCACCACTTGTGCTGATATCTTCTGAGGGTATATGTGTCTCCTTGTCTGGTTTATACCTGCAATAAAAGGTCTGCTGTAACTTTAGAAACATCCACCGTGGCCACTGTCATCAATCACCAACCTACTCTAGTGAATACACATGCACATGACAACGCTCACATTGGTTCCCTTTATGTTTATTCTTATAGCCCCCAAACCTGACATTTGTCTCCAAACCCTTAACACTCAAACTAAGCCCTTCGGTGAAAATAACACATAATTAACTTTAAGGAGAGCCAAGAAAATAGTCCTCACTGAGGTCTACCCTCATCTGCATGGAGCCTTGCTTTAGTTCAGGATGAACAATAAGGTCCTCAGCTGATCGGCTATCAGCTGCTTCATTTATGCTTCAGAAGCTCATTGATACATCAGCTGAATGGGAAGCACTAGCTATCATCCAATCGTATTCATAGATGTTTAATAGCGGTGGATATAACAGTTTTCTTGTGATGTCCTCATGCCAGTATCTCTGCTGCAGCTCCACCCAAAGCCAACAGCTCTAAACTAAGACTTGACCTTCTGATACTGTCAACTCTGTTACAATATAATGCTCTTGATATGCTTCCAACTTTATCCGAGTTCTGTTTACAGAGTATGCTTTGCATCTTAAATTCTTGTAGATCCAAGGTTACATGTGCAACAAAAAGTCTGTTTCTCTTCCATCTCTCTTATTGTGGTCCTCACAAAGATGATAGAAGTTTAATACGGAAAGAGACTGAAAGACTAAGAGAGAGGGAGATAGATGGATGGAGACCGAGAGAGGGTTGGGGAAAGGAGACAGGGATTCTTTTTTTTAAATCTAATAAAAAACAGACCTCACCCAATCCCCCTTTCCTCTGAAGGGGAACTAAATTCCCATGTGTGTACAGTTTACCCCCCCTCTTCTTTCTCGCTTTCTCCCTTGTTCTCTCTCTCTACCTTGTGCGCACACACTCACTACTCGATGGAAAAGCGTGCATCAGAGACATCAGAAGCACAAACATAGGCTGATTACACAGTTAACCTTGATGATAATATATTGAAAACCATAATCAACATGATGTAAGTTTGTACCAGTAAACCCGCCAGCCACCTTTTTCTGTTAGATGAAGCTGATGAGACCCACATGTCTTATCTCTCTTATTCATGCAACAGCAAATGTGCAAACTCATACACACACATACCAGAAACACAGGTTCATAAAGCCAATGGTTCCAAATGTAGGAACAAATGGGGCCTGGCTTTAAAAGGATCCCCTCAGACCTCAGAGACATGAACACATGGTACATTTCCTTTTTGTTCACTAAAAAAGTTATTCCTTTCCATGCCCTACAAGACAACCCCTGTACAACAGGAGTTTACAGACCATGATTATATCCAGAGGGGCCTGCAGGAGGTCTGTCATGAATTTATTTTGATCCGTGACATGAAAAAATGTAAAGAGCTTTCAAGTTACTTACTGGAACCATCAAAAGGTATCTGTCTGCAGCTGTCTGGATGTCCAGGCCAGGGGCAGTAGTAGACGGCCCCAGCCTCCACAATACCAGGCTGAGAGGTGTTTGCCTTGGGAGCCCCAACCAACACACTGATCCTGTTGAAAAAAAAGGAAACCCAAGGTACATGCAAGACATGCAGGAAAGTTTATATATGCAAACTTGTATACAAAAAGCACAATTTCATCCATTTCTGTTTGTATACTTCTGTTTTGCTCTGTGTGGTGGACATTTGAACCATTGCTTAGCCTGTCCTACTTCAGAGAATAAAGCAGCATTGATTTTTCATCTAAGTTAAAGTTTTCACCTCACATAATTGAAATTCTATTCTTTTGAGCAGAGGTTTTTGCAGGTTATATTAGAAGTGGAGGTATTGTGTAATCAGGACCCTGATGGGACAACCTAAGTCCTGAAACTCACGTGTTGCTGTCGGAGGAAGCTTGGTAGAAGTCCACAGAATAGCCAAAATAACTTCCATCGGGTCCCTTGTAAACCGAAGGATGCTCTGCGTAAAGGTTAAAACTCCCAACTCCATTTAGCACCGACAGCAGCCCGAGAACAAACATCCCAGCGCAGGAAACACAGTCCCAGACACGCTCCATCCCCGAAGAACACCAAGGAGCGCACTATTCCAGAAAAATGAGAGGGAACAGGGAGAAAGCAGAAGAGAGGGAGAAAGAGCGAGAGACAGAGATGGTTTCCTCCGTGCAGGTGAGGTTTGTCCTAGTTTAAGCGCGCCAACTTGCTGTCACTGCTCTCCCCCAAAAATGCCTCCTGACACCCTGAAACCACCAGGTCTGCCCAGAGTCTCAAGACTACACACAGCCGCGCCCCCGCCCTCTGCTTAAAACTTTACCCCCTACACACACACAGACACACACTCACACACACACTCAGACCACATCTGAGCGCGCAACGGGACGGGCGCGTCACCGCTCCTTTTATGGCAGAGACAGATTTTCTGCAGCGAATTGTGAGTTTCACACAGAAACAATAAATAAGATTAAATGAGATTAACAGTCACCATGTCAAATGAGTGCAGAATTATACACAGAAAGCACAAACATGCAAAGAGTTGTACTTCATATATTACCTTACACCACTTTGTTAAACCATACCAGTTATTTGTACTTTGATTATTATTATCATTATTATTTTAATTTTTTTCTTGATTTTATTTTTTATTTTATTGATCTGTGTGAATCTTTGCTATCCTGTTTTTTCACGTTTACCCTGTTGCTGCTTTGTACAACTGCATTTCCCCACGGGGATTAATAAAGGTCCATTTTATCTTATCTTATCTCTTAAAACACAAACAGTGATGCATTTCTTCAGTTTGGCATAATCTGATGTAGTTGTGTCGGTAGGTTTAATTAATATGTCGATTTACAGCAGAAATCTCTTGAGCTGTGTAAGTTTATGCAGTTTTGGCCCGCTTATCGTTTCACTCAACACCAGGCGATATTCCCACTAACTAAACCTCCGAGGAAACATACTTCTCTTGTGCTGAAAATAATATCGTGCAATGAAAAACAGTTTGAAGAGGTGACGGGCGAGACCAGACTATACAAAAATGTCTTATCAAAAAGATCGATCTAATCGTGTGCAGGGCAGAGAAAAATAGGAGAATGTCCCACACACTTTGAGCCAAACTCTCAAGCTGCTGTTTATCATTGTGGGGAGTTTGTTTTAATTAAACTAAGCTTTACAGGCACATATGATTAGTGCTGAATTAAACTCCACTGCCAGTCTCAGTGTAGTAAAGTGCAGTGGAGCAGCACAGTGTGTTTTCTGTCAGGAGAGTTGATAAGAACCAGGTGAGAAGGTGAGGTAAAGAGTGAATGAGGAGAACCCAAACTTTGACCTGCCAGATGGAGAAGTTTCTCACATCCCTCTACCTGCTCTGCTCCTACAACACACATCCATTCATCAATTCATCCATTTGTCAATCCCTAGTTTCCGTTTTCATGGTTTCATTTCATTTGTACAAACTTGGTTGTCACATCCTTATTGTGCAACAGTGAAGTGAACATGTGTGTGTGTGTCTGGGAGAGAGAGAAAGGAGAAAAAGAGGGTCTGTTCTTCCTCATCTGCGTAAATCTATGGAGAAAAGCGAGAAAAACCAGAGCACACAAAGATGAATAAGTAGAAGATGGTGAATATGATGGAGTGAGGAGGCAGCAGATCCTCTGCCTCATGTGTTAGGATGCCAAGTAACTCACATTAAATGCAGCTCAGTTTCAGCATGTGCATGGACTGTCATCATTTTCTCCAATGTCTTACATCCAATAAGTTCTTCACAGATATCTCATTTCCAGGAATACACACACTCACTCACACACTGTTCAGGTTAAGTCCCGTCTGTCTGCCAAAGTGCTGCGATCACGGATTTCCTGCAGGTTCATTCTGGATTGATTATGGCACCAACATGATAGTGCTTTATATTCTACACACTCTGCCAACGTCTCTCTTTACAAACTCCTAATGCGACTGTTAGGCAGACAATTGTGACAGATTAGGCCCACATTCTGCATTAGACAAATCCATTAGACACACACCCAGCCAACATTAACACACTACAGTGCACAGATGCATTCTGGAGCCAGGATATCTGCAGATACACACACAAATGCATAAACATTTAGTTAAAAACTCCGGAGCCAACCAAGTACTTAAATGGGATAAAGTGCTATTTCTCCTAAAACTTGCCGCTTGTCTTGAGTGGATACTTATACACACACACAAGGGTAGTAACAAGCCGCTTATATTTCATTTATGTTCTCTGGGGAATCTTAATGACAAGCAAACAGAAATATGTAGACTTTTTGTGTCTTAAGAGCTACTTAAAGTCATGCTTAATTTCCCCGAATGTCCTTTTGTATAAAAGTCCCTCACACCGTTACAGTACCATTCATTCTTAAAGACAGCTATTTTTTCGCATGCCTCTACGGTGAACAAAGAAGGAAGAAATTAAGAAATGTCTTGATTATTAAGAAAATAGGGGTTGTGTTTAACAAAAGCAAATGTCAAAACATACATTTGGATGCAGCTATGTTTGGCAACTAGTGAGCAGACGACTGGATAAATAAGACGTCAATTATACTGAGTTGTGTGCTGATTGATAAACAACATTTTCAACAAGAATTTATGTTGACACCGGGTGAGAAATTGATATAGGAATGGTCATTTTGAGGGTGATATATGACCTTAAGTCACCATCAATGTCTTGGAGATTTAGTGAATTACTCATTTAAAGACCCTTGGGAGAACAAAAAACAAGTTGGTGTTTGATTTAGCGTTAAGGGGATCCAGACAGACCAGACACCCTGAAACCTGAGGTGGTTGGGTGTCAGGATCAGGATATTTATGAGGAAAAGACACAGAGGACATATGCTAATAAAGGTATCCCAGCACAGAGCATTTGAACAAAAAAAGTGTTTATTCCAGAACCTTTAAGTGTGATAATAAATACATGAACACTTGGCCAACATCGTAGTGTGTTGCACAAAGCACAAACACACACACACCGAGCCTAAACCTTCTCCTTGGTGACAATACTGACAAAACCTTCTGTACAAATCTCCAGTTCTCTGCGTCCCTTAACGCTGTAAACGCTTATCAGTGAGTGTGACTGTGTGTGTGTGTGTGTGTGCGTGTTCTTGTATGTGAAAGGCTTTGGTAGGTTTTCCCTCGAACAGTCCTATAGCTGGATTAACAGTCGAGTTTCAGTCAACTGGCTGTACTGGGGTTTAATTCCTAGAGATACACTCGAGTCCTTAAACCAAACCAGTTGTCTCCCTAAACAGTTTCGGTTAGCTGTAGCAGAGGTGTTGGCAAAGAACAGAGCTGCAAAAATAAAAAGTCAATTTTTTCTTCCTTTTAAATAATTACATCTCGACATCCTGTGTGTCAATTACAAGCCATGGTGAACAGACAATAACATGAACTGTAAAGGTGGGATCTTTGTGGAATGTGGGAGTGAGAATGGATCTCAGGCATGTGTGTTTAGTCCACAAACGTTTTTGTATCGGCCTCTTTTTATTCTCATTCCTTTGTGTTGTATATCTGTGTGTGTGTCAGTCCTGCTGACCTTACAGGGTCAGCATGCATATGGTAAGCCGGCGTTGTGTGTGTGGAGCAGCAGAGGTTCATCCACAGACTCAGACACACACACAGAGGTGTCGGTGCTAGTTCAGTGACGGGGAGCGGTCGGTGGACCACAGCAGCTCGATGTAGGGCCACCGGGTCTGAAGGCAACGCTTCACGGGGGTGTCGTCTGTCCGGACCATGGGGTCCTCAAAACCCAGCACCAAGGCCGTCCCTTCCACATACTCCACCTGAGAACACACACACAAACAAACAGGTCAATACACAGTTAACGCAGAGTTAACTAAACACACACATTTGAACACTTCCTGCCATATTTGACAGGTTTCAACTCTATTAATCTCTTCTTCCTCTGGGGTGGGGGTCAGGGGTGAGATGCAAAGGACCGATGCAAGCATACAACAGACGCTCGTACACACACAAACACACCAGCTGCAGACTGCAGGTCTGTTATTCCCATCTGGAGCTATGGGAATGGAATTGCCATCACGACCTTATAGGCGCCTTGCTGCCATGTGCATATGTGTGTGTAGGCGTGTGTTTTTGTGTGGGCAAACATGTGATGCCATTCTTGCATTTCAGGTAGCAGTATGGAAAATATCTGTGTTACAGACCAGACAAAGTTGACATATGAAGAAAGTGATATTCCTGAGTACCAGGTTTCTGCACAGCCACCAACAACATCCACTGACAATCATCCATCAAACTAAGCCTGCTTAATAGACCTGCGTTTGAACATTTGCCGCTGACAGTGGCCTCAGTGTTGTAGAAGTAGGAGGCTAAGCCAGGGTTTGGGGATGGATGGACAGGCTATTATGCTTGTAATAGCTACTGTTTATTTTGGAGTGGCCTGCCGCCTCTAACTTTGTGTGTATGAATGATGACAGGAAAAGAAGAACAGCACAAAGAGAAAGAGTATGAAAAGGTACCGCAATCAGTTGCAATGAGAAACCTTAAACATGAAATAGTGTATTACCCTCTCGTTGTGGTTGGACTGTTTGAGTCCGTTGTAGTGGTAGATGGAAAATGAGTCTGGGATTCCTGAGTCCTGAAACAGAGATGAGGAGCAGAGTGAAAAACATGCAATGTTGTTAGAGAGTGTCTGGGCAAACTCTACTCACAGACGGAGGTAGAGAAGCAGAGAGGCAGAACATTTCTGAACTGAAAAGTCAAACCGACACATATCTGCCTGCAACCAAAGCCTAATGTTAAATCCCACGTGGTCAATTGAAACGTGTGTACTGGAGCAAAGCCCTATCTCAAATTACCAGAAAACATTCAACACTAGAAATACCTCGGAACAATGACATTGAGCCAAAACACTTCCAATGAGTTTGGCTTTAAGGTGCAGAATGCTAATAGGGTGTGTTGTCTGAGAGCGTGTCCAGCTTCTTGTGTTTATATGTCTATATGAAACCCTAACCCTCACCCCAATCCCACGTGTGTCTGAGTGTGTGTGTGTCCAGTTGGCTAATGGTAGTATAATTTCTTTGCGGCTCTGGGCCGTTCCTCTGGTGAGTCCCCAAAGCCCTGATCACTTTAACACAGTTTCCCCTCTATCTCTCCCTCTCTTGTCTTCATTCTTGTTCTGCCTCATAAAGGCGCCTTACCGCTCTTTCTAAGCTTCTCGGGAAGTAATGTCATATGATGCTGGACACATAACATTTCACACCACAGGAATGTTTTGGGCATAAAAAACCTTTGATTTGCTAAAACAGCACTCCACATATGCTTGGGAAAAAGACATTAGTGTCACCAGTATGTGTGTGGACGACTCTTTGTCCATGTGTTTAACTGTGATATGGATGGTACGACTGGTGTTAGGTATTCATCAGCCTTTGTGTGTGTATCTTTGAGCTATAATTTCACCTCTGCATACACAAATACCTGATCAGGGAAGAATTCCAACAGGAACGGGCCCAGAAGAATTACGCCCAAACTCTCTGGATCCAGCTTACTCTTCACCAGACTGACACTGAGATGGAAACACAGATGGATAGAAAAGAAAGTAAATCAAATGTGAAAGAGGGTAATTTAAAGAAGCCATATGATCAGCGCTAAAAAGATAAAATGTGTTGTGTATCAAAACCCAGTCAAATTTATGATCACCCCATCACTCAGTTTGTTTTGGTGCGCAACGCATGCTTTTATGATGGTAGTACAACTAAATATACCTCTTTCCAGACATTCCTACGCGTTAGATCAGTGTTATTATTATTCCACAGTGATAAAAAAAAATCTGGTCAGATTTCCCTTTTAAGGCAGCGAGGGGAGAACAGGGTTTAAACCAAAACACAGAGGGAAGGCAATCATGGTTTTCTTCACTTATTGAATGCAATAATGTGCAGCAGGACAGCATACCGAGTAGACAGCTGATGCGTCATTAAGCATCACTGCGAATCCCTAAAAGCATCTGCGCTACTCTATAGTGAACCTTCTGCTTCCTATGAAGGAAAGGGAAGAATAAAGAACATCTCCTCAGGGATCAATAGCGCTCTTGTTTTTATAACAAAAGAATCTGTGGTGATGGGGATCATGGGAATTCATTGTTTGTGTTGGGTTTGCACCGTATCCACTACATGACAGTATATGACTTCATTTAACCATGGACTTGACATTAGATGACGGTGCACGCAGAATCCCTGCTTTGATCATTCCATAGTAATAGTACGTGTCCTACCTATCCTCATGAGGCGTAACGCAGTCAGTTGATGTTTTTACGGAATACATTGTAACTGTGCATTGTCTTTTTTAGGTAGTAAATGAAGACATAAATAATACGTCATTTGAAAAGTCGCATTGGATATGGATTCGCTCTATAAACAGTAAATGGGAGAGTGACTTTGAGGACACGGTTATGTCACCCAAGGCGGCTTAAGTACACTTATTTGTATGCTTCTCACACTGAAGTCATTCATTTTATTATTTCCCATTTTAGATTCTATGATTTGGTTTCAAATGAAGTAGGATATTGTTTGATTCATTATTAGGCGCTTTGGAAATGAGCATAAAGATTTCTAGTGGATTTACATCATATATTAAATATGACTTGCATATAAAAAACCTATAGGAAATAAGAATTGATTGTTTTAAAGTTTGAGTATGAATAACTATCTGTAGCCTATAATTCATTGGTGCTTCATCCTGAGAACAGTCAGTGTTAACAGAGTTGGTTTACCACAGATGATAGCAGCTGATAGACATTGGTCATGGGATATGTAGGAATACTAAGTTGCATGCAATCTGAAAACAGTTTGCCCAAATCGTCAGCGAGTGATGAAAGCCATACATTTAGCACTGAAAGATAGTCCTATGAATCATTTCCCCCCCAAGCACTTAAGATGCTACTTTTTTCACATGGTGGAATCCCTGCAATAACTCTCTCGTTGTGCGGTAAGGAATGAGCCCGGCCTGTTTGCACTGGGAGTCTCCCTGCAGTTTGCTGTGTTTTGTTGTGATGTATCGCCCATCTGGGGGTCTGCAGAGCGAATCAGTGGTCCAGTTACTTTGCCGAGACCCACGGCTGCAGCGTTTGGACCGACTGTTCCTCAAATGAGAACGTGCTCCTGTTTGAAGTGGCACATTAAAGCATTTCCTCCCTCTTAGTCTTTCTTCCTGCTGTTAATGATCTCCCTCTAAGCCTCCGTTTCGGACTTGCTTTGGTTCTTTCTTTTCTCCAAAGCTTTTATAGTGGTCTTTCTCTGCTCTCACTTTAATGTAGCCTGGTAGTGAAACATGAGCACAGGCTGCTGACCTGGCCTGGCCGTGACTTCGAAATTAGAACTTAAGAAGCTCTACAGGTGCCACACACACACACACACACCCTGAAATACACACAAACACAAGGCCTTGAATATGTGAACACTTACTACTCGGGTTCTGAGACAAGGTCAAGGGCTTTCATCACGTCCTCCAGCAGAGAATCTGGGATGAAGCCATTATCTGGAGAGAGAGAGAGAGAGAGAGAGAGAGACTGATGCACCGCCTGACTCGCACAGAACATAAAATACAGACTTCAGGGGAAGCCTTCACCTACACATATGGCACGAGCACTATTTACATCACTGGCCCTGGGGAATAAACTCATCCAACACAACTAAAAGAAGAAAAAAAAGGAGAAAAATCACTCGCACCTTGTCCTTTCTCTCTGACCTACATTCCAGGGCAGTGATGATTGCTTTACCTGAGAGGAGAAGCTTTAAACATTAACATGTGTTTTTTGCCTTTAAGACTGTGTGTGTGTGTGTGTGTGTGTGTGTGTGTGTGTGTGTGTGAGCATTTACAGATTTGTCTCATTTAAACACCAGCCTGCGAGCCTGTGTGGCCGGTTGTTTAGATACATGCATCAACCCTTAGTATGCGGTGAAGTAGATTAACTGACGAGCGCTCTGCAACTCAATCTTTCAAATACAGATGTTATTCTCTCAGTGACAATTGACAGTGTGACAGAGAGCAAATAGTGCACAGGTACAATGACAAACCATACATTAAGGAGCATCTTGAGACAGTGGCTTGCTCAGTGTGTGTGTGTGTGTGGTGAGTCAGTGTGTGTGAATGCGTCTGGCGCCCCTTTTCCACAACACAGGGAGCTGTGCTGAGTCTACATGTGACACAGACAGATTTATGGGCCTTTTACACAGCACTCAACTTTGCTGCTTACCACGGCATGTGTGTATACAATGCTGTGTGTGGATATGTGTGTCATGTACAATGCATCTCCACTGCATGTGTGTCTATGTATGTTCATGGATGCACCTACTGCAGCTCATGCATGTGTTTGTGTATGTTTTTGCAAGTGTGCGTGAGAAAAAGACCATATGGCACATGATGGTGGAAGTGATTGTGAGAATGTGGGAAAGCGTATCTCTATTCAACAGGAAAAGAGGAATAATGAAAATAGAAGAAAGGTGACGGCCAGTTTGTTTTATATATTTTGTGAAGAAAATGCTGGAAAAAGCAAGATGCCTTCCAGCGGGTGGGATTTATCTCACATCGCATTGCACCACACAACAGATGTCTACAAATCAGCATGTTGTTCCTATGAGCCTGATAGTAAATAATGTTGTTTATGGCGACAGAGAACAGCACACTTCATTTCACAACAAAAACACACACATATGATGGTATGTGTTACAACTGGGATTTAGCCCGGTACTCCGCTAAACAACATGGAAAGCGGTGAAGTGTGTGACGTTAACATGCATATGCAACATGTCTGCATCTCCCTGCTTTCTTCTGTCTCGTTAGCAGAAAAATAAAACATTTCACTACAGCTGTTAGAGCTAAATGTTTCATTGAAATGCTCTCTCTTGTCTCCAAGTACTCATGAACACAGACAAACATCCCACAGTCGGATGTTGAGGCTGCATAAGTGAACGCTGCAGACTTGCAACTCTTAGTTCATCTAACATGACAGTCTTTTCATGCCTCTTCATAGCTCTCTATTGTTCCCTTCCACTTGCCTTTTACCCCAGTACCCTGGAAGTGACAAGAAAAGAGGTTTAGGAAAACGAGAAGGAGAGGGAAGAAGCGGGACGGTTGACTCAGCTGTAAGAGAGGAGCTGATCTCACCAACCTAAACAACAACAGTGGAGATGAGAGCAGAGAAACAGACCCTCGTTACGCCTGGAGGAGAAACATATTGGAGACAAGAAACAAGACAGAAGAGGCGAGGGGCACACTGGAGGTTATGTTTGCATCTGCTTGACCGCGAAGAAAGGGAAGAGAAAGACAACAGGGCCAGGATATTGATTGCTCAGATTGGGCGTGTGAAGCCGTGTTAGAATTAAAGTTTGGAATGATTAAAGTACATCTGTGAACAAGGATGTTCTCATAGCTGGTGTACTAATGAGAAAACAAATGGTCTATAAAAAGGTGTGCAGAGAACATTACAAAGACTTGTCGTTCATTACCTTCAGGGTCGAATGAATGGAAGACCCTCCTTGCTTGTTCTGATGGAGACTCTGGACCCACCAGGGACATCTCCTATAAAGAAGGTGAAACAAAAAGATGGGAAGGTCTTGTTAGAAAGGAGGACTATGAGGCGAGCACAATTGTGCACCTAAAAAGTAACCACACAGAGATCTGTGACTAAAGTAAGACATCAGGGGGAATATAGCAGGGAGGAGGAATTAGATCATATTCAGGGAGACGGTGGTTTCATCAGTGCTGACACTTTAGAATCCATTCCTAAAACTGCATCTTTTGTCAAGGTTTATCAGCACTAATGCACAACACACTACAGTTTACTATAATCAACAAACAGCACGACTATTTCGGCAGTGTCTGATGCAGCTTATATGCATTGTACGTACATGTGTGTGTGTGTGTGTGTGTGTGTGTGTGTGTGTGTGAGACCTAAGGGGCCAGTGCAAACCGGAACGCATCGGGTTATTAACGGATCTGCTGATAACGTTGGACGGCTTGTTTTCACTCAAAACACACAATCGGGAAATCAAGTCTTTCACATACAGCCAGCGATTTAAGACAAGCTCTACAGGGTTTATTTGTTTGTAGGTGGAGTTTACAGAGAGCAGTGCAGGCAGAGGGTGACGGCCCCTAAGACTGGGATACAATGTAGATGCTGATTAAATGAACCATTCCTTGTTTTCTTTACACCAAGGACCCCAGCATGATTCAAACAAAGTACTTGTCAGATCATTCTAGAAGCATAGAAAATCCCCATAGCTCACATTTATCCAACGTCTGCATCTGTTTGTCTTTGACTGCCAGAGTAGAAACTCTCCAAAGGCGGGCATCTGTCATCCCTAATTGTAAGACTCATTTAATCAATAAAAGAAAGCAAAGACATCTACTGAAGAGAGGTTAGGGAAGCAGTGTGACACAGCCTGAATCAGTGCACTTGAGTGTTGCCATTTTGCATTCCTGTGACAGATCTCATGTAGATATAAGTCATGTCATGCCCTCTCTTGTTTTATATCCTTAAGAACAATCTGATATCTTTAAACTAACAGACAGATCTTGTCAAGCGCTTGCAGTAACTTCAACTGCTGGATAAACAATCAGTTTTGTTATCTAAACGGCCAGGAAACTATGATAAGGACTGCAAAGGTGTCATAGTCCCTGGAAAATATATTGCATGATATAAACATTGACTAAAGTTTAAGAATCTCAGAGAAGATAGAAGGGATGTGTCTCCAAGAGAGGATGAAATGAGAGACTTCATACACGCACACACTCACGCAAAGTGTGTAGGCGAGAGTCAGGGGGTTCTCACTGTTCGTTCTTATGAGTGAGAGAGGGAGGTTATTTATGACAACAAAGCGCTGAACAAACACACAATGTTTTGAGAGAGCAAATGAACCCTGCTCATCTCCTTTAGCTGGCCTTTTATTAAAGCCTGAGCCTCAGATCCATGCAGACTGCTAGGGTTTCACGGTCCACTTATTACCGTGTTCAGGGCTTACTCAGGGAAAGAGAAGGGGGGGGGGGGGGGGGGGGGGAAGAGAGAGAGAGGGGTTCAGCTGGACACATGGAGAAAGAGATGACTCCCAGCTGCCGGCTCTTCAGATGCAAAGAAAAACAGGCCCGGGCCGGCGAACACGCGCTCACACACGGTTCTGTCACACTGAGTACAGCAGCGTCTTGGTGTGTTAACATTACAGGCTCCATAAATCTGACGGTACATTTGTCATTAGCTACATGTGTCCATGTTTCACTTGCAGGGGCTGGACAAGGGTCATTTTGGTGTCTCGGGAGGAATAAAGTGCTCCAAAAAAAGTAGCTTAGTGTCCAACTGCAGTCTGAAGACACACATATTAAATGTAGGATCAACAGTGACGTGTGTGTCTTGAAACATGACCTGTTTTAATAAGAACTAAATACAATGCCATTATTATGTATTAACAGTATACCTAAACTAAGAAGAAGTGTTCCCCTTTCTAAAGTCATGAGAAACCAAATCGATCTTAAGCTGTCGTATACAATCAGGCTGCTATTAGTCCAATGTGCCTCGTGACCTAACGCTCACTTCACACAGTTTATTATCTTCAAGAGAAGATGGACACATTCTGTGTAAATCGCCTGGTAATAACAGAGATTTCCACACTTTACCGGAAGACAAATAGTCACAAGTGGTCATGAACAAGCAAAACAACACAAAACATACTATTACTTTCCAACCTATACACGCCAATATGAGGCTAATGAACACATAGAAAAAGATAATGACTCGCGTGTGAATAAGATCATGCACATACAAGCACAATGGGAGCAGAAAAATTACATAATTGTGTGTGTGATGACAGGTCTGCCTGGCTGCCTTTGATCTGCGTTTTATTAGAGGCCTGAGGAAGATGCTGCTGAGTTGGAAAACATGTCATGGAGCTAACACACTCCACAGGGAAGGTGTGTGTGTGTGTGTAAGTGCATGTTTTTGTATCTCAGTGTTTCTCTTCTCTCGACCCAACTGTGTTGCAGTGTGTGTGTGTGTGTGTCTGAGAAAGAGAGAGAATCCGCAATAATTAGGCCCGTCCCCTGCCGAGAATTGTTTGTTTATAGTCTAATACAAGCCGGCATCCTGTTCTCTCTGCGCAAAAACATTCATACTGATGCAGAGATGCAGTACAACGACAAAGTCAATCAGGACCTGGCATCAGTGCAAATCCATAAGTGTGCCTTATGATATCAAGGGGCACATTCCAAACTACAGTCAGACTTTTTCACCCAAAGCCTTGACCTCCTTACAGAGCAAAGATAAGCTACCTTATGTAGGAACAAAGTAACGCACACGAACGCACCACACAATGGATGTAATACAAAAAGAAACGCCGAACATTTCCTCTGAGCAAAACAAGAAAACATTTTTGATACCTAACATGTGATCTCGAAGATCTAGCAATTTCAACTGACAAGAAAAAGGCTTTTCGATTGCAAGTCCACTTTTTAGTTAACTTTATGAGTTAAGACTCCAGTCACATCCAGACTTGTCTGTAGCAAAATATGAACTCTGCACTGTATTGTAGTCAATATACAGTGTTTGTGTTGTTTTACATTAATCTTGGTTTGCTACCTCTTTCCCATGCGCTGTTGCCTCTTGTCCCCAGACTTTGTGGTTCTCTTAAGTTGACATCTCAAACCAATCAGGCCTTTTGCCTCTCTTGTTCGTTCTCTTGCCCTATTTGTATCCCTTCTTACAAGCTGCACTAAGTAGCTACTCCACTTTTGGAGTATATCCTTCCTTCCAACTCTTGACTTTTGCTTCCATTCTTTCTTCCTTCCCCCCCTTTGTCCTTTATCTCTTCGTGCAGGTAGGTACTTCAGGAAGGACAGGTAGGCATGGAACTTTACTAGGGTTACTCGTTCTTTCCCTCCGGTCCAGCCAAAGAGCCCATTGTGTGTGCTGAGAGGCTCCGAGTGGCCATAGAGTGCGTCTGGAGGATCGGTTTCAGGACAACAAAGCAGAGGTCTCGGACAGTGTCTCCTGCCTTGTTCCTAGCAGGCAGCGACAGCCCCACTACATGACAGGCTGAGGAGGGGGTCTGTGTGATGGCTCGTTATGTAGAGTACATGCAAGTCTTTTTTTCACCTTAACTAACCTCTGTCCCATGTGATAAGAAGTACAGGAGACAATGGAAAACCTATTTCTCCTGCTCCATAAGGAGTGTCTGAAATATCCCCTGAAGCAAGTGTTTCAGGTGTGACAGACAGGACAAAGTAGTGATTTATGGAGCTGTCGTGAATGAGAAAGGCTGTGTCTCACCATGAAAGAGAGGTGACACCAGAGGATAGTTACAGAGCGTAATGATGGGTCCTATAACAGGAAATGACACACAGGGGGAAAGGAAGAATAATGCAGCACACACAGACACAGACAGCTTTTCATCCCGATACAATGTCCCATGGTCTGACCTGTCAGAGATTATTAATGACTGTTAATGTACACCGCTTTGTGATGTTCTGTTTGTGTGGCCCGCACCCTCTGATTATAAGAAATGGAAAGAACACACTTTTCTTCCTATTAATGTATATAAGATTACTGGCGTCACATTGTGCAGAAATGATCATATCATGTTACATTTCCAAATGTAAAACGAATAATATTTGGGACTAGAAGTTTGACTTTGTTTGAGAGATACTTAGACTTGGTTTAATGCAATGCATTACATGGTTTAAAGTGTAATAACTTTGTGTGTGATTTGCCCATGATATATCACAATTGGAGCTTGTTTTTGACAATGCTTTTTTTTTTTACCTCTTACCACATAACAATGATTTGATATAATATACTAAACTCAAAATTACTTGCTTTGACACGAGTAAACTCCATTGGAACTAGATGGCCAGTGGAAAGGAAGTTAATAAACCACAAGTGACATTTTATCACACAAATATTACTACTATTATCATATATGATTGTCAACGATATATTGGCAATACTGTTATTTTACTGTGGTTTTGCTTTGCCAATAAAGCCTGACTGAAGTAACCTCACATACATGTCCTTGCAGACAGGAGTCTTAAGGGACACGAAGCGCCACAGCGGCTGCTCTCTCTCCTAGTAAATAACTGACCCAGAACACGACTACTGTACACATACACACACACACACACATTTTACTCCCTTGAGAGGCAGATACACAGTCTGTGAACCTCATCACTCAGCATGGGAGAGGAAAGAGTGATGAGAAGAGTCACAGGGGGATCACCCCCCCCACCCCACACTTTCCCAAATGACCACTGCACCACTCTTTAAAGTGCATCCTTCCTTTCTACTTCCTTTCTTCCTATTTCCTTCCCATAAGGGACCGATAATCTGAAGAGGTTGGCTGAGATACCCGATGGAATTCTTTACTTTGGCGAACCACCTGCTGTACACTGGAGTGGATAGTTGCTTAAAAGATGTGGAAGGAAGGACACATCTCGCATGTTTTGTCTCATCCATCACCCATCCTTCTTCGCTCTCCATCTGTCTCTTTCCCCGTCCCTCCTTCTGCAGGCATCTCAACTCTTTTCCAAAAACAGATCCCATTACATGCCATTATACACACTTGGCCTCTTTTTCCCCCCCCCCCACACACACACACACACACACACACACACCAGAGTGTGGGGGCTGTTGTGGGTAGAGATGGTAGAATGGCTTTTGTGTAGGTAGATTAGATAAAAAACACTAATGCCATTAGGCTGATGCTCTGAAAGCCGCAGTCACACACCGACAGCGACTCGGGGGAATGCACACCCGTCCCCAATGGCAGACAGAAAGAGCCGCTGACACATCAGAGGCAGGGATCAGGTTTTCTGCTTTTGTTGGGATGGTTCTAAATAGCAGCTAAAAGCTACATAACCAGGTAACGTGTATTTTTGTATCACCGAGCCTGGGAAATCACAGCTTCAAATGAGCCCCCAACATTGATTCCCAATTCGAGGAGGACGGGGTCAAAGTGAGTGCGCTCTGCCAGCATTGCTCCATGTCTGCTTCAGCTTGACTCAAAGTTATAGAGGCACAGTGTAGCGTCAGCCATGTACGTCAGTCCATATGCATGCATGTGTGTTCAAGTGTGCTCCCAGTCTCCAGTGGGACAAATGGATCCAGATGGGAACTCAGGAATCACATTCCCTACCTGAACACACACAGGATTATGTTCCCGGTGCTCTGGAATGTGTGTGTATGAGTCAGATTGTATGTGTGTATAATGTGAACATGTCACCAGTGCCGGAGGAGTTGTAGAAATCGGTAAGTTATCAGCGCATGCATGACGACTTTGGCTCATCACTGACCAAACATATGATCCACTCGCCTAGCAGACCTGAGCTAGATGTATGTTACAGAGCTTTTAATCAATGGTCTACGAAGGGTGTGGCTTTATGATGGAGATGATTGCCTGGGATTTTTCTTCCTCTCCGGTGCCATTTTCACAACAGCAGGAAGAATCGATTTGCTACAACCAAACCTGCCAGCTTTACTTCATAGGCCTCAGCAATGTATCATGTTGCATGTTCACTGATAGAGATGATAAACATGCATGTCAAACTGGGTGAGTGTACACGCCCAAACACACACAGGAATCTGATGATTCAAAGTTTCTCTTAGTTACAACAGCAGGGTTGACCTCAATCAGTATTATATACACCTTGTGACATGGTGAATATCTGAGTTGGAAGGAAAAGGATCTTGTAGTCCTTTTTCCAAGAACCCTTTTAGGAAGTCTGGATAATTTTCCTGCACTTTGACCACATGTTTCAGAGTTTCCTGAACTGTTTTTCCTTTCCCCCAAAATCTACCTGCTCTGATGTAGTACTTTCTGATTGATAAAGGGTGCATTCTGCAGCACAGAATTTGTCATACACCAGCCAGAATGCAACAACTTGTAAAGAGCAGTCACTTAGACTCAAGCCCTTGTTAGTGTTACTTGTCATTATAATGTAATATAAGCAGGGATAAGATTTTGTAAAGTGCTACTGACTTGTAAACAACTGTAAGATTACCAACTACTAACACCGGGCAAGGGAATTAACCAACATATGCGTGCTAATTGCTGTGAATGTGGTTACGTATAAAAGTAGAGACATTAACTAAATGAAAAACATTATGGGGAAAAGATCATCAGTTGTTCTAAAACATGAGCCTAGATGTTTGGCTTTTTTTAGCTCCTTATTTCCTGGGACAAAAACAAACATGTTCTTATGAACAACTTCCAGGAAAGTAACATGTGTGATCCATATAGTTGAAATGAACCTGACAGTGAAGGTAGACAGAAGTACATTGTTAATGGAGTCCAAACTCAGCAGGGTGCATCATGGTCATATAATATGAACAAAACATTGTTTAGTAGTTGATCACAGATGGTTGACAATCATAAACTTTTTGTTTTCATGTGCGTGAGAGTGACGAAGAAAGGGCATAAAGATGAAGTGTGTGTCTGCACTTGTAAAGTTTATTTTGGAAACTGATCTTTCCCCCCCCCTTAATGCTAGATAGGTGAAAAGCCAAGAAACAGCACTGGCCATATATGACTATCTCCAGCGCTCATTTTTCCCTCCCCTCCCTTGCTCCCTCCTTTTTTCCCCACATTGATATCCGACCTGCACTATATTAAATCTGTTAAGCACATTCCATATTTTGGTTTTTCAAACCTGCTTAGGAAACTGGCCTGTGTTACACACTGTGTCTGTGTGCGTGAAATATGTGTTGCTGCTTATGGATGACTGTATTGAACTTGCCTTGGTAAAAAACACAGAGAGGTGAGTTTCACTGCCAAGGATCCAAATAGGGAACTTTGGAGACTTCAGGAATGCTCCAACCTGAAACACGCACATAAAAGGAAAGCGTTACAAATGAATGTCTATTTTCAGTCAATTGTTTAGTATAACTTACATACACATTTTCATGATGTTAATAAATGACTTCCTTCCCCCCTCTGTGTTCATTACACTGTATATGAATACTGACTTCTCCTGTTATGAAATCCATTTCATCTATGTTACGTTCGACTAATTTTCAGCTGGAATGTATCTGATTAGCTGCTGGCTCTTCTTTATATGCAGCTTGATTTCCATACAAAAACAATAAACCAAATATATACAAAGTTGAATATAAACAGACCTCTCCTTATTTAATATGAGTTGGTCTAAAATCACTCTTACCAGCTCTCTTTGGCAACATCAACTTGCTTTTAAATTTATATTGGCCGATTGCTGTCTATTTTAAGAGTTCATGTCTTAGCTTTATTTGGATTTGTTCATTTTGGCAATGATAAATACATATCTAAGATTCCTGATAGAAGAAGATATCTTAAGTTTGTCCGATGACATGTTTTTATCAAGCCAAAAGAGAGAGGAGACAGTTAGTCTGTTTGGTCCAAGCACATATTTTCACACGGTAGCTCTCCCTGTGGTCTGTGTTCACACATTGTCCTGCATCTCAGTGAGCCACAAGTACCAAACCTTTATTTGTATTCTTAGTACTCTCTTAGCATATACACACATTTCTATTAGTCATAAACCTTTGGACAATATGTATATACTTTTGCACATTTGGGTCATGTATGCGTCTTTACCTTGCAGTAGCGTAGTGATTCCATAAGTGTGAGGAAGCCAACTGATGCCTGTTTATGAATACCATGCAGTTCTACCAGCACAGGGAGAAAATAAACGGCAACAAAAAGAGAATTAGTTTAATTACATCAAACTGGCATTTAATTGTTGCCTTTTGTTCATTGATGTAAGAATGATTGCCCTCTGGTGGATATGGTTAAAATCTGGGGCAAACTAATCTGAATTCTGTGTGTGGTATTTGTGCATGCATCTGTTGTGTGAATGTGGCGTGTCTGTAACTTTGTGCGAGTCTTACTCATGCCGGAGCACTCCCTGTCTCCATCCCAAACATTAGAGACAGCATGGCCAGTTACAAGGAGATTCACCAGGCTCTGGCTGAAAAGATAGATAAGAAAGGAGACATCAGCACTTTCAGAGAAAACATAATACTGTACATCCTGTAACCTTTACCACAAAATAAAGAAGGGCTGTCAGTCGTCAACCTAAGAGAGGTGTTTTTTTTACCTGCCATGGCCATGCACAGGGTCTATCAGAGGCTCCATTGTGTCCTGGATCTCATTTCTTATATTCTCTATGCCCTGCACAGAAAAGAAGTCTGCATTTAACTTAAACATTGATGAACACAGAGAAAAATACTACAAATTATATAACACCATGATTAAAAGCTTATTAAGAATTAAGAAAACAAACAATATTTGTACGCGTCTTATTTGAATAACCACTTAATAAATATGCCAGTAGAGGCAACATCACCAATCTCAGTATTGCCAATCAGTATTTTATATTTATATCCTCGCTCTATGTTGCTATTTCTTATTTTTACCTTAGTGAGGATGACTGAGTAGAGGAAAAGCAAGACTCCACAGCACCCCCTCCAGGTGTGGCAGAGAGACAACACTTCCTCTCTGAGACCAGAGACTGACATCACAGTCCGCTTACTGAAGGAAGGGCACACGCATAAAAATGATTTATGAAACGCTCAAAAAGACAGATTTGTTAGGTTCAAGGATCGATATAACTGGTGTATTAATTATAGTTTCATATTGATAACTTTCACAATGTGGAAGAAATCAACTAAACACATCCAAGTGGAAAGAAAAATGGGTTCTTGTCTTTTTGGAGCCACTACCCTCCTTCGCTCCACCCTGGAAAGCCTGCTAGTGGAGTTGTCTGTCTTAGTTAGCATGCACTTCTTCCTTGTGAGTCAGCACTGCTTTCTGCTGACTGGGGTCTCAGCTGCCAGCAGGCTGTGTGATGAAATTCCAATATTCCTCTGGCAATAGCAGCCTTGCATACACTTAGTTTGTGACGGACAGAATGCGTGTAAAAAGGTAGTCGATTTTTTTTTTATTAGGCAATCTATGAAAGTGCTTGGTCAGCAATTTGTGAGCAGAGTGAAATAGCTAATTCAATGTGAGAGCCAAGTCTTGCAGACTAAATTAATCAAACGACTATATTTGTATCTTCTAACAAATATGTAGTTCTCTATCCCAGTACTGAATATTGGCAAATGTAACAAGGATTTGTAAGGTCTTAATCCCGCCAGAAGCCCACAGCAGTATTTAATGACAAGATTATCTGCCTCGAGGAAGAGGGTCATGAGTATAAAGATGCAAGGTGTTGTGCTGTGGTGAGAATATTAAGTTTTACTTACTGGACAACACTGTGAAATCGCTCAAAGCCAAGGTCTTCAGCAGCCAAAGCAGCTTGGCACAAGAAAACACACACATAGTAGAATCAGAGCATGGCACAGAAAAAACGACATACTGTAAAATAGTTAATCTAGTTTAGTCTTCTATAGTTTGTATCATTATTGGTAAAGCAGGATTAGGAAAACAAGTGTAACAGGTCTGTGCACTTTTATTCTAAATATGACAGATGTAGGCCTCACTGGGTTGCTGTTCCTGTGGAGGCTGGCTGCTCTCCGGAGCTGGCACCTCCTGTGTTTGCGACTGTGAGCTGCTATGTGGGCTTTGTCCCTTGGCCCAGGTCACCAGGCAGAACCCTGTGGAGGGGCTGGAGCAGGCCGACTCCAGGATTTCACTCAGCGTGGAACACAGTACTGTTTTTTGCTCCTCTTCTAACAGACACAAACATACAATATGCATGGTTTAACCAAGCCATACAGCTACCTAAAACAACAGAAAAACAATGCTTTGGAATGTTCTCTCTACCTGTCATCCGTCTCCAGTTTGAACTTTCTCTGTTGAAAAGAATGTTCTTGAAGAGGAAGGCCTGTAAAGAAAAACAAACTTGGTCTACACATTTGCAATATTCAAATGGTGCAATATGTTACATGCCAAGTTTTATTTAAACACATGGTCCAGCCAAACAGACTTTTGTTGGGCAACCCTGTGTTGTAAAATGACAATAAATGAACCTTGAACCTCTAGGATGTTGAACTTACCTGGACAGGTGCAAGGACAGCACACGGCCCTCCTTCAAACTGCTCCAGTGCTGTTTGCTCATTCTCACAAAAAACAAATCCTGTCATAAAAACACAGGCAAGTGAACCTTAAACATGTTGACAGTGATAACAGGTGAGGCATTTCTTAAGACACCGTGCATAAAGCCACAGGTGTTAGCATGTTCACATTGGAGGCCATAGAGCAAATTCCTGCTGAACTCAAACACAACAACAGGATAAGTAGCTGCTTAGTTGGCCATCAGCTATAGAGGAGGATTGAACAGAATAAATTGCCTGTGGTAAACTTGGGATAGAATACAAATCTGGAGACACTTGGCTCTCTGCCTAACATGGGTGGAATATATTCTCATTCTTTTCTGCAAAAACGCTTTAATTTATATCATAATACTTAGATAAAGCATCATACCTTGGGTCCATCTGCGGAATATGGATGCAGAAACTCCTCCACTGGAGGGTCTGCCCCAAACCAAATCCACCACCTCTTGATTTAACTCCGACATGACAATTGTCCCTCTTCAGTCCAACAGCCACGAGGGTACACGATAGGTCTGTTAAGGCTAGCTTGGGAACTCTTTTAAAAGTTGATATCCCGCTTCTCTCAGAAGGTAGAGCCTGTGGCATTGGCCACAAGCTGCCTGTGTTACACGACACAGTCCGACACCAGTCAGTTGGAGCAAACTGGTGGGTAGGAATGACATCAACTTAGCCGCAACAGCCTGCAAAGTAAAGAAACAGAGAGATGTGCTAAGGGTACAGTTTATACAAAAGAGACCACATTATTAAACACGGGTGGACTTTATTGCATAGCTAAGTCAACAATGGGGCGTATACAACACATCAGTGTAATACTATATAACATTACTCGCTCGTTTTATAAATCAGCGATAAAGCTAACCGTTGGGTAAACGTGAAATAACGTTCGTTACAACGGATGGTTAGTACTAAAAGTACCAACAGAAGAAGGATAATCGTAATCATTTTCTATTGCGGTGTTGTTACCTTGAAAGCTGTTGTAAAATAAAAGCAGATTTTTTGAGAGCTGAGTTCACATGGTAATGTCAGCAGTTAGCATTAGCTTTACTACTAGCAGCTACTCTTTCATTGCTTTGTCATTCAATTGCCTCTCCCACTACACCATCCCGATCGTTGCTTTATGAAAGCATACTGAGTGCCATTAGTTAGATAACGTTCAAGCGTATTACCTTGGCACACAGTCGAGTAATGCGATTCCGTATTGGTTATATATTTTGGTAGCAATTTAACTATCAGTAGCCTCTCTGTCATTCGTTTATTTACAACAGAAGTGTAAAAAAGCTGTGCGTTCATTTGACGTGACTGCCCATTGGTTGAAATCCAGAAAGTTCCAGATGCGTTGTGGGGTTCAGCCTCAACGCGTCACCTCATTGGGCTACAGACGTCTCGATCATATCAAGCACCCGCCTACCAACAGGAAGTCGGTTTATTCATTTAATGCCCGCCTTAAATTATCCGTTCTTTAAGACATTTTAAGTTGTGGTTTTTTTATAGGCTTTTTCAGTTTTAAAGCACAGGTTTAAAACGCAATGTTGCAAAAAACGTGTCACTGTCATGTATTTCATAGTAAAAAAAACGTTATTGTAGAACCGTTTAGCTTGTCCTTTACCTCTTTCCGTAGCAGACACCCAGTGACGAAACAGAGCATGCGTACTGCTATCCTTTCTTGCTTTACACGCGTGTAATATTCACACTTTGGGAAAGTCTGTGTTTAAGACAGAATTCCGGAAAATATAAGACATATTTTCCACCACTATGGGAGGACAGGCTAAGGGCAAAAAGAAAGGGAAGCCGAAGAGGAAAGACATCAACCCAAACCGTAATCTTGTTCAATGATTCAACATGTTGATAGTTATTTACAGTTGCCTAAACCTATCATACAGCAAATAGTCATGCTTTGCTTTACATTCCAACTCGTTACCAGACCAAATAAGCTAAAACTAACCCTGTCTCTCTATTTATTTTTTACCAGTGGATCCAAGATTTGTTGGAGTGTCACCTCAGGAAAGAATGAAACTAAGAGCACATGAAAAAGCTAAGAAGAAGTCAGCTGAGAAGTACTCTGTGCTGCAGCTTCTCGAAAAGGTGATATTGACAAGACATACACAACAAAGACTAACCAGAAATAGTGATGCCATTTGAAATGTATTTGACTTCTGATTATCTTGTGCATGTTTTTTTTATTATACCATGTGATTATCTGTTGTACAGACAGAGGAATGCATGGACAGTTTTGATTTTGAGATGGCTCGCCTTTTCTGTCAACGAGCCCTGGATGTGGAGTCCTCAAACCTACAAGCCTTGGACATGCAGGGACACATCTGCTCTGAACTAGGAGACACAGAAAAAGCTAAGGAAATATCCTTTATGCAGGTTTATTCTTTTTTTGAATGTGCAGTTGTTTAATTTAAAGGTCCCCTATTATACTCTTTTTCATCAATATATTATAGTTCTCAGTTATATACAAAACATGTCTCTGAAGTGTTTGGCTCGAAATACCAAAACAATTATGCATTGTAGCATCCCATAATCCCCTCTGTTTCAGCCCTGTTTAAAAAGTGCTGATTCTCTGTCTGTTACTTTAGATGAAAACTAGAGAATGCAATTCCTGAAGAAATTGCTAGTGGGAATGCTTTATGCTGAAAAGCTGACGCTGAATTGCTATGCTGAAATGTAATGTGTAAGAAGAAAGTGAAGAATTTAGATTGAAATGATACATGAACACTGGGGGCTTGAATGTGTGATGAGAGAAGAAAAGAAAGTAAAAAGGCTTGGAAAAGCAGCAGAATATTTGAACTGCAAACTTTTGAACTAACTTGATGGCGAATGATCTGTCGCCATGCCAACGGCATTTGATGACATCCCATAATACGCTTAGATGCGTTGATGGCTGCATCGTTACCAAACCTGTGAAGTTTTGGGCCGTTTGGAGCATTTTCACTGAAGTTATGAGAAAACCGTGTTTCACGGTGAGCATTGTGTTGCCATGGCAACGGCATTCGAATAATTCTCAAAACTGTCCCGTAGATGTCTTCACGGCTGGACTGTTAGCACACATGTGAAGTTTGAGCACTTTTTGAACATTTTCATAGGATTTATAGCGACATCGTCTTTTATGGCGAGGGATGCGTTTCCATGGAAACGGCATATGATGACACCCCATAATTGACGTAGAGCTGTTGAGGGCTGGACCGTTAACCATTATCTGAAGTCTGGTGCTGTTTTGACCCTTTTCATAGGCGTTACGACAACATCGTGTTTTATGGCGAGGGATGCGTTTCCATGGAAACGGCATATGGTGAGATGTCAGATTTGACGTAGAGCTGTTGAGGCATGGAGAGGTGATATACAGGTGAAGATTGTGGGACGACCGGACCGTGTCCATTGGAGCTACAGCGACATCGTGTTTTATGGCGAGGGATGCGTTTCCATGGCAACAGCCTATAGTGAGATCTCAGATTTGGTGTAAAGCTGTTGAGGCATGGACCGGTGATATACAAGCGAAGTTTTCATTGTTCTGAATGAGAGATAAACCTCTTACATGTGAACGTTTTGTTGAAGAACCATAACAGATATCGGTGAAATTTCAAAGCGTGAAGCATGTAAAGGAACTTGAGTATCTGAAGTGTACTTTTTGTGTACTTTCGGGTTAATAATGTGGCCTTTTTGGCAGATTAACTAAAGGTGTACGGCTGCTGTGGTGGGGAAAGATGAGGCTGAATTTACAATGGGGTTTAATGGAGACATGAACATTTTTGTCACTTCATGCCCTCAAGAGGCATTTTGTTTAATTATTTTGCTTAATTTATTTTTATTTTTCAAGCTACGAGATGTTTTCCTACGTTTCTCATGAAAAATTATGTCTCAGGAATGTAGGGTTTGGGAATTATGGTAGGTTTAAAAAAAAAATATGAAGGCGAATTTCAATCTGTCCTCCACTCTAGCTGTGACATCACACACTCTAAATCTGAAGAAGGCCTCTTTACCAAGGTCTGAACAATGTTTAATATCTCTAAAAGTATGAATCGGATTTAAAAGTTGTGTAACACGAATAATGTCAGAAAGATGTGTAACATTTTAAAGTTAGAGGTTTCTGAGTGAAAGTATGAAGGAGCAGTTGGCAGTTGAATTCGCATGAAGATTTTTCAAGTCTGAAGAGTTTCTCCATTGACTTCCATGTTAAAAATGTGATGAATTATGGGATGTATCTCTGGAATTATGAAAGTTATGAATTAGAAAAGTAATAGCATTCGATTCCCGACTGAGCTGAACGTTTTGATGTTTGAACGGAGTTTCTGCGATGTGGAATGTGGGAGAAGAAGAGCAGCAAAATAACCCGGCGGAATAATAAAGAATTTCGTGCGTCGAAGAACAGATAGTTGGAATGCTGTAGGGCTGTGCGATTATGGCAAAAATCATAATCACGATTATTTGGGTCAATAATTGATATCACGATTATTAAATACGATTATTCATTGACTTTGAAAAAATCAATTTATTGAACTTTAAAACAAATACAAATAATAATTTGAACAGTATCTTTTTAACTGTTGATTACCCTGAACGTATAATTCAACTGAAAAACCAATACAAAAATAAATAAAATAAATGATACATTTTAAATAAATAATATCAAAATAATAAATACCAATAAACAAGATCAACAAATATTTTGGAGCGCACTTCCACAAGCTACTAAACATATATAAATATGATAAATACAAATAAATGAGACTAAAATTAATTAGATCAAATATGTCACAACCTAGCAAAGCAAAATAATTGTTTTTTTTCGATTAAGTTGTTTTCGTAATTGTGGCAGGCCAAAATCGTAATTGCGATTAAAATACGATTAATTGCACAGCCCTAGAATGCTGTATGCCGTGGTTTATTAATGTGTTTCAGCTGCATTTACCGCTGCAGTGCTGCCCGCTGTTTGGCATCACAACACTGTTATGAAAGTTTCTCTGGTATAAAATGGGTGATGTTAGCATAGCAACCAAAGCTAAACTGACTCTTGACTACTTGTTGCTATCCTATTGTGGCATACGCCGGCACATTTTACCGGCATATTTTTCATTATGATTCTACTTGTGATAGTCGGACATGAGTCATGACAACCTGTGCAGCCCATGTATTGATTGCTATAATACAAAACAAAACGTCTGCCTGCTCTCCACAATGATCAATGACAGCGAACGGATGGTCAAAGTAAGGTACAAATAAACAGAATCACACTAAGCCTGGTTAGTGTTGCCTGACTTTATAAAGTGTGTTTTTTTTAATAAGTGTGTGGTTGCGTTCTAGTCACTTTGGTCAGCGCTACTGCTTGTTACAACTTTCATTTGTCATACTCGCCATAAACAGTTCAAGGTTCAAGGTTCTTTATTGTCAAACTAACATAGCTACAGAGTAATTATGTTGTTGAAAATCTTATGTCACAGGCTTCTCCAACAATGCAACATAATAACAATACAGATAGCAAGAGCAATACAAAAAGAAAAATAGTTATAAAATAAAGTGAGCATGTGGAATAGTGCAGTACGAGTCTATATACAAGTTATTGGAATGATATATATTAGATATTAGATACATATTACTGAGTAGCAGATGAATGTTTTGAAGTTGTTTCAGCAGTTCAATTTTTTAACAGTCTCACTGCCCGCGGGAAGCAACTGTCTCCGAATCTTCTTGTCTTTGCCAGGAAGCTGCGGTAACGTCTGCCAGACGGCAACAGAAAGAACAGTTTGTGGCTGGGGTGATGGGGGTCTTTGATAATCCGTAGTGATTTCTTCCTGAGCTGCTGGGAGTAAAGGTCCTCCATGGATGGCAGCTCCGTCCTGGTGATGTGCTGTGCAGTTTTCACCACCCTCTGTAAAGCCTTACGATTGAGGTCGGTGCAGCTGCCGTACCAGGCCGTCATGCTGCCAGTCAGGATACTCTCTATCGTGCACCTGTAGAAGTTGCAGAGTATCCTGGAATCCATTTTATTATTATTATTGCTCAGGTTGATCCCGTCCGTGCCCGCGCCTCCGACGTAAGCGAGACGTATGCGGTTCTTGCCTCTAGACCGACAATTTTTTGTTGCTTGAAAAGCACCGGGTTTCGGAGCTTAGTGGCGGCTCCGCTGCGGTGTGAACAGGAAAAAACTGTGCTTTTCAGGCTCTAGCTCCGAACCGGCCCTGGAACCGCGTTGGTGTGAAAGCCCCATGAGAGATATTTGGTTAAAAAGAACACAATGGCGCTCTAGGAGGAGATTCAGGTGATAAGGTGGGCGGGGGTTACCTTGGTTGGTTATTGGCTAATGGTTACACAAGCCAAAAAATCGTTATGACATCATAAAGTGGCCAAAATCTGATCAGCTCATTTTCAGACAGGTTTTTATATAAATGGATCAGGACAAAAAGTGAGCAAAACTTTCAGAATCTCTTAAGAGGGGACACATATTTATGTATAAAATACATGAAAAAGTGGATTTTGCATAATAGGTGACCTTTAAACCCTGTTAAATGTTCATTCTGTTTGAGTTGAGTGAGCCTCCTTGACCAAATATCTCTAAGCTTTTTTGCGTGCAGTGGAGCTGAGCCCAGATGTAGGCCACAGTAAGTACATGTATCTAGGACAAATCAACACCGGCCAGGAGTCTGTGGACTTCTACACTAAAGGAATACAAGTGTTGCTGTCTGCATTGGAAAAACAAGCCCAGATCACAGTGAGTAAAGCGCTATACTTACTTACATTCCCTCAATGGTTATATATACATACTCTTCATGAGCTAAGCAGAAATGCCATTACACCCAAGGCTTAATGCTAGTGTAATGGTATTCAAGAGGGTGCTGTTGAACAATATATGAATAATTATCTACACAGTATCTTGATCATTTTACTTATTAATACTTTTTTATTTTAAAGCACTGTCATGCTCATCGTATACAGCAATTTTAATTTATAACACCTTCTAATTTGCTCAAACAACACAAAATACTAAACAAATGCAAAAATATCAAAAAGTTACCACCAGCTTTTCCTTTTCCTCCCTCTCAATTAGTTCTGTTTAAGTGTTTTCCACACAACAACCTTACTCCAAATATAAAAGGAATGGGTTCCAGGTTTTTTCTTTAAATTCTTCAAGCTTGTCCCTGATGACAAACATGTATCTGATTCTCTCTGAAGTATCTGTTAATGAGCTCAGCCGTTGTTAGAGTGACATTGTTTCTGTATTTTCCAGTGAGTGTAAGTGTTATTGCTTTAAGTATGGCATATTCCAGTTGTTGCTGGGAAGTGTGGAGCTTACTTAAAGTAGTTCCGAGAGTTAGGCTATCAAAATAGGTTCTGGAATTTTTGAAGTTGTGAGTACTTCCAAAAATAGACCAAATATTGGATTTCAGTCCTGCTATGCAGGGACATAAGTCATATGCATGATTCTAGGAGTCTGCTTCAGAGGACTTTCTAGCATAATTTGATTTTGGCTAAGAAAGGATAACAAGGAAAGGCACACATTTTTTGTATAATTTAGATCTTCAAAGGTATTTTCTTATAGCTGATATTTTGAATTGTATAAAAAGAAAAGCAATGCTGCTGCTGTCACTTACAACATAAACAATGGCTCCATTTAGATTTAAGTGTCCCAGTAAGAAGTTAGGGTCCTGGTCATTGACACTACCAGTGTAGCTAAATGGAATTCACCCACCATTAATGTCATTATTTACAACTGCTCTTTTTCTTCTCTAATATGTTGAAATATTACCTGTATGACTTAGATAGGGTTTATCTGGGAGAGAAGGGAAGTTGTGCAGTTTTTTGGATAACTTAATTGTTAATAATATTACAAATGTGCATGCCATGTTCACTATTTTGTTTTTTTTACAAGTAAAGAATCTTTAAGTCATCTGCTCTCTGTTCCTCCAGCAGTCTGAGGCTGCAGCTGCTGCCCCAGCAGATGAAGACGCTGAGCTCCCCACAGCGAAGGATGTTTGTGTAGCCTACTGCTCAGTGGCAGAGATTTATCTCACCGACCTCTGGTAGATCACACAGTTAAACTCTTGACTTGTATAATCCCATTTCCTGTTACTGCCTCGGTAATGAATTGATATATATATTTATTTTTTTTGTGTGTGAATGTAGTATGGAAGAGGGGGCTGGAGACAAATGCAAAGAGCTAATTGAGAGAGCATTACAGTATCACCATGACAACCCTGAGGCTCTACAGCTCATGGCAAGTTACCTGTTCAGTACAGAGAGAAACCAGGTCAGTACACACACACATGCATACACATGCATATACACACACACACACACACACACACACACACACACACACACACACACACACACACACACACACACACACACACACACACACACACACACACACACACACACACACACACACAGGATGAGTTATCGCCACATTACAGTGAGAATCTGCTGAGTTAATTATTCGGAACAAATTGAATTGTATGCCATTAATCAGCAGATGGACACTTGCGTTAACACACACACACACACACAGATAGGTCAGCCGATAGGAATGTTAATTACTGGGCAGATCATTGAGGTCATAGAGTCATCTGATAAATGAGAGAGAGATGGAAGAGCAGCCTGCTGGACTCATTTAGAAAATATTCTACAAGAACTTCACAGCATGAAGTATCTGATAATGACTTTGGAACAATTTGTTAATTATATTTTATGTATTTTTGATTTACTAACTGTTAATAAAGGCAGACAACATTCAATCCAAACATTTCTGTAAGACACTTTTGTAGAGCATGCTTAAGAATGCTTCCCATTTTGTATTTGAAATTTGACTTATTCAGCTCACTAATGTGTCTTTGAGTTCAATAACACATCATTTTCAACAATTTCCAGTTCTCCTAAGCTGTAATATTTTTTTACTGTAAAGACAGGATTTCATATTTAAAATATCATAAGCCTTTCCCTATGTTACCTGGAAACCAGTTAATACAGGAAGTAAGAACATAGTGAACATTATTCACAGTGTCTTTAGATCATCCTGGCTGACCTTTGCATTGGAAATAGAAAGGAGCTTTTTTTTTTATTGGCAGGTGTAGCTATCTAAAAAGCGGAGCAAATGACCGCAAATAGTACTTCATGCTCTTACATCACCAAACTGAGGGAAAACAAGAGATCTGTGGAATGAGGTGGATCTGTAATACTAGCTGTAAGCTGTAGGGGTCAGGCTCGCTCCAGTCACACTACAGCATCCCACAACCGGCAACTATTTTTGAATACTCAGGTGATACTTTTGAAAATAAAATAGTCTTTATATATCAAATGGCCATTGACATATATGGAGCTTTCATGATCCAGCATGTAAAAGTGATGCAAACTAAAAATCTTTCCTTTTAAGCTAATTTGTCCTCATCTGTGTGTGTGTATACATATGATATATTTTGGGGTTTAGTTGCACAGTCATACATATACACATGAATTTACACCTATATGCCTTATACTGTTTTCAGGAAGGCAAAGAGTACCTGTTGAAAAGTGTTGGATTGTGGCTGCCTGCACAGGAACAGAGTGCAGCTTCTTCCAGCACAGACGAAGACATGCAGGTGAGTTGGAGCTTTGCTTCGTATTTTTCTGACAGCAACCATAAGATCCCAGTTTATTTATAAAGCACTTTCATGTAACGGGATTGTCACAGTGTGCTTTGCAGTGAGCACAAACATAAGAGAGAGATAATGAAGCAAGGGATAATAAAAATAAAAAGATGGAACAAATACTTCACAAACCTGTGTGCTTTTCTGTTTGTCTATGTGCCTGTGTAAACACAGAGCAGATATGAAAGCACAAGGCGCAACCAGGAAAGTGTATAAAGGATAAGTAAGGGACTACAGGGAATTTGGCAATAAGAAATAAATGGCTCTAATGTCAACGCAGGGTAGGTTCTCAACTACACCAAATAAATGGCACTTGCGTTTACATTCAAATATTGAGAAAAGGTGGTATAAATAAGACGGAAGGGGGTGTTGATATGAGACAAAAATCCCAGTGGCACAACTGCTGTGACTCTTATCTTCAGGAGCAGGTTGATCTGAACCCAGCCTGCCCACACTTTCGCTGTGATTAACAGCCACATAGCTGCAGAATGTTTTGTACCTTGAAATTGGATCGTGGCATTATCAGACAAAGGAAGAACTATGTTTGTGTAAACACTGTAAAGATGACGGTGTTGTCTTTTTTTCCCCCAGAATGAGATCCCTCCATACGAGTCACGTGTCACCACAGCCAAACTGCTCCTTGAATCTGAGGAATTTGAGGTAAAATGATGTGCTATTTTTGGTCTTTGTATGTTTCCTGTTAGTAGGGTTGCCTGGCATTTGTGTGTGTTTGTGTGTGGATATGAATGTGCTTCTAGTGAATAGCAGTGAAGGTGGAAAGGCCATGCTTGGTCTTTATCCCTTCCAGAGTTCAGTGTCAATAATTGAAGAGTGGTATTTACAGAGAGGGACAGAGGTAAGGGGCAGCACAGGAGGAAGGATGTGAAGAAAGGAAGAAAAAAAAGGAAGGATGCTGTAGTCTAATGAATTGCTGCCATATCTGTGATACGGCGCACTTCTAGATCACACGTTAATTTCCAGAATGAATGGCCTTGAATCAGTGGCTCCATGCCTTCAGTTCGGGGCTAAACCCCTAACAGTCATTAAGGCTTCAAGTCATTTTCTGTGATTACTGCGACACCAGCGGTGGTTCAGCTATTTTCTGTTATGATCCAGTGATTAATTTGTAGTCACTCTAGTTGAGTGGTTTATGGTCATTACAGACAGGAAATGAGAACAGTGTCCATTTTTCCCATCACTCCTAAAGTGTGTGTGTGTGTGTGTGTGTGTGTGTGTGTGTGTGTGTGTGTGTGTGTGTGTGTGTGTGTGTGTGTGTGTGTGTGTGTGTGTGTGTGTGTGTGTGTGTGTGGTGTGTGTGTGTGTGTGTGTGTTGTGTGTGTGTGTGTGTGTGTGTGTGTGTGTGTGTGTGTGTGTGTGTGTGTGTGTGTGTGTGTGTGTGTGTGTGTGTGTGTGTGTGTGTGTGTGTGTGTGTGTGTGTGTGTGTGTGCGTGTGTGTGTGTGTGTGTGTGTGTGTGTGTGTGTGTGTGTGTGTGTGTGTGTGTGTGTGTGTGTGTGTGTGTGTGTGTGTGTGTGTTGGGGAGATGGGCTGTCATGTGCATCAGTAAAATGTAACGTCTCGGTCCACAGTTTCTGACGTGTCATTTGTCTTCATACTCCTTTTGGTGTCATCAAGACAGAAACGCAAACAGCACATATTAGGTGTGTGCTTTATTTTGCTGTATGCATGCACGCACAGGCATACACACATCCATGGGCAAGGTTGGACATATTTGCTTTTGGCTATCAGCTATGTGAAAGGTCTGATGGAAATTGAGCTTAAGGATGGGAGTGAAGTAGAAGCAAGTTATTTTCTTTCTGTCTCTCCCAGACTGGGACTTCGCAGGATGAATATACCCTCTTCTCTTTCCTTCTTCTCCTGCACTGTCAAATGCACACACCCTCACTCATTTTTGTGCTATTTATCTCTCCCTATGGACTATAGCTATTCACAACTAAACTCTGTATAAAGTTGTGTGCTTCCACTCTGTATCAGTTTGAAGGCCACCTTTTTAGCAGGGTGCCAGAGTGCTTCCATTTGCCTGTATTTTTTCAGTTTGTTCTTTCAAACTCAGCCAAGCTTTGAAATTGTGTTTAATGTATAAGCCAAAGAAACATACCGGTACGAGGCATATTTGAGTTTCCTGTTCCTGCCTAGAGAATGTGGTTATTTGTGCTAAATAACAGTTAATTTAGAATAGTAAAAGTGGTAGAACTACTTTGTTCTTTGCCAAAAAGCATTTGTGTTTCTCTGTTGGAGATTAAGCTCTTTGTCTGATGACTGCAGTTTGGGCTTGTACATTCAGTCCAATTATATAGTTTGAGCAAATTAGTCATTTGGCAAAAAATAATAGAGTTATTGCATTTGCCAAAATATCTGGCTGTTATGATATTATCTCCATAGTTATTCTGGAAAAATAACTGTATAGCATGATGGAAACGATATATCACAAAATAGATAGTTGTGTGTCTTCTCCAAAGAAATCCCTAAAATACTTATTTTATATAGAAGTGCAGGACGAGCAGCATCGTATTTGCAAATACATATGCAGTGTTTCCCCTAGGTTTACTGCTTTGGGGGGGTGCTGCCTGAGCAGGGGGGGGGGGGGGGGGGGGTGGCATTGGGATATATATTTTTTAATCCTCTGGAGCAGAGAGAGGAGCTGTGGATTATTGTTATTGATTAATGCATCAGTGTTTCTTAGGGTCAAAAACACTAACTTAAAATGAAAGCGTTTAGTTTAAAGTGACAGTAGATATAGATTATTTGCAATTTGGTGCTATATATATATATATATATATATATATATATATATATATATAAAAAATAATTATAATCTTCTTTTTTTTTTTTAAACACCTTGAATTTCAGGGGTGGTGCGGGGCTCCAAGACAATGGTAGGGGAAACACTGATATGTTATATATTTTTCCACTGCTTAGATAGAACCAATCCTAAAAATGATTGGTAGAATAATCAATCTGTCAATCACATCCCTTTTTTTAAATCTCTTAATCCTATAAATCATTTTTCAAGCAAGAACACCAACAATTCTCCCAAGGGACAATTTGCAGTTTTTTCTTTGCTTTTTGGCATTGTGAGTAATAAGTGTTTGGGTTTTGGACCATTGGTTGATCTAAACAATCAGCTTAAACAAGTTTTCAGCAATTAATTTAATCCTAACTTCAAAGACTAGCCATAAAATCATGTTTCAAGAATCAAAAAAAAAAAAAAAAGGTTTATCAATCTTTTTTTATTAAACGTACATGTTGCCTGAATTTTTAGCAAAAGTGCTTTGTGGCAACTATGCGGGCTTCAGAGTCTACAGTCTTCTCAAGTCACTGTCAAACACACAGACATATACCACACACCCCACCATCATCATCATCATCATCACCCCTCACCACTAAGAATTCACATGCCACATAGCAGACAGACAGACAGACGGCCTCCTCTGGCAGCCATTGACGTGTCTCTTCAGAGTAGTCGCACGCAGATGATGGTTAGTTACTCTTCTGGTCACTCGTGTTTGCTTTCATGTATTTCCTTGAACATTTCTATTCTTCAATTTAGCTCACGATGGAGCGCAGCTTGTACTTTCCAATGTTGCTTGAAAGAACTGTTAGCTTTGACATCCCAAGAATTTATTTACTTGCGTTTAGATGTGCATGTGTTTTTGTGTGGTGTGCATGTGTGTGTGTTTGTGAGTGTGTGTGTGTGTGTTTGTGAGTGTGTGTGTTTGTGCGTGTGTGTTTGCATTTTTGTATGGGTTTCTGTGTGTTGAAGATACGGTTTGCCCTCGCTTGTAAAGTGATTTGTCTTTCTCCTGTCACTGCTGTGCGCTCTGGTAAAATCATTCTGTTACACATAATTGCCTGGAACACACACACACACACACACACACATATATGTACATATATGTATATATGTATATATATATGTATATATGTATATATATATGTATATATGTATATATATATATATATATATATATATATATATATGTATATGTATATATATGTATATGTATATATGTATATGTATATATGTATATGTATATATGTATATGTATATATGTATATGTATATATATATATATATGTATATGTATATATATGTATATATGTATATGTATATATATATATATATGTATATGTATATATATGTATATATGTATATGTATATATATGTATATGTATATATATATATATATATATATATATATATATATGTAACACACAACAAATTGCCATTATCAATGAGTGGCTTCCAGGAGTTGCTTTTTTAAATCTGTAAGAGGTCTTTAAATAAAGAGGACAGCATGTATGTATAGTCTTTACAGTGTGTGTGTGTCTTTACAGTGCATTGTTTCTGTTCATGGACCAGTTTTGCATTGTTTATTAAGATCCTTTTTGTGCCCTTCCTTCTAATTTTCACACTTTTTCCCTCGTAGTCCCCCTCTCTTCCCCTTATCTCCTCGCGAATATTAATCTTGTTGTTGTTTAGAGCGTGAAGCGGTTTAAGAATCTCTGAATCTTTAATCACTAGCCCCCGGGTTGACCAGTGTAGTTAGGAAGCAGTACAGTTGGAGATGATATATTGGTTATCATTGCTCCCAGATATCTCTTGTTCTATTTTTGTTGCTCCAAAATGGCTTGTCTTATCAGTTGTTTAAAACCCATACAGATCTTTATTCTTATCTGTTATATCTAGTGCCCAGCACAAACGACTGTTTGTGTGTTAGGTTGTGTGTGATGCAGTGAAAGTCAAGTAAATAACTCTGACGCTGGACATGAATCTATTCATCATCAACTGGGATTAGGTGTTTTTGTTTGTGTATTTTTAATCAGTCATTAATTAATTTAATACAATGGGTTTTCAGAAGATAATTGGTCCAGCAATCAATCAACTGACTCCCTGACATGCACATTTGCACACTCTTAATGAGATAATCTCAATTAACCTGAGACTCCCTGGCAACTGACCTCTTTATCGCCACCGGAAGCAAACAGGCTTAATGAAAAGACGAGAGAACTCCAAAGAGCGTGAGGGAAAAGAAAATGAGGAAGCTCTCCAGCTAATAAGTCTGCCTTAACAAGAAACAAGTGCTGCTTGTTGTGTTCACTGCTGTGTGTAGCTTTGTTGTAGTGTGTGACTATGCAGCAGTGTGTCAGTGCGTGCACAGATACGTGCATGTCTTTTATTCTTGCCCTTCACCATGGGTGATTGGCTAACAGTCGCCTCCAACCTGAAGTTGACAAAAATCAATACATCATCACCTCGGGCCTCACAAACACACAAAAACACACACACCAACCACAACCACAGCATCCACAAGGAGAGAGGCAGAGCAAAACAAACACACAGCCTCAAGCCAAGGTCTGCTTTCTGTAATAGAAACTTCCCACAGAAACCGACCCAGAGAGTGACGCTCGATGGCAAAGGTCACCTAAAATTAAACTCATTTTAGACCTCAAGGAGAGGGACGGGGATGAAAGATAAGAGGGGTCAGGCTGGTATTTAAGTTGATTATGCATCCTTTAGAGTTATACCAGTTTTAAGAATAGATGATATGTTAATGGATGTAAATAGATTAAAAGGGCTATCGAACAGAGCAGCCAAAGTGACTATTGACTGTACGATAAGCACTGGTGAGTGTGTCTATCGACAGCCATGTCTGTTGTCTTGTTTGGTATTGAAGTGCTGTGTATGGGACACTGACCTCATAGACACTTATCAAATCCTCTGATCACTCTTGATTGATCGCACTTTCTGGGAGATGCACACACTTTGTGCAATAACGACATGTTTGTCTGTACCTTCATGTCAAGGCTATATTTATGAATGTGTACTGATGAATGTGTTAAACCTTTAATGTTATTATTTGTATGATGATATTGTCCGATGATTGTTACATGTTATTGACTCTCTCTCTCTCTCTTTGTTTCTCTGTCTTTCTCTGCTTCAGGTGGCGGTAGATGTGTTGGAGGGTCTCCTGGAAGAGGACGATGAAGTCGTCCAGGTAAGCAATGAAATAATGGCCCAGCTGTTTTGCCTAGTAAAGAAATGTGGTGATAAGCTTTCATTCATATTTCTTATTTTGTTTGAAAAGGCAGATTTTACTGCCCCTGAAAGTCAACTCAGAAATCAGAAATGAAGCAGTTTATCAATCCGTTATTTTTATCAAATGTTTTGATTAATTGGTGTGGTATTTCCAGCCTGTCTATCTCTAGCCTGAATGGTGGCTGACGAGGCCAAACAAGCGCAGCATTTTATATCAGTTGGTCTGGTATTATGCAAACAAATACATGTTTCCTTGATAGCAAGTTAGCTACATCCATGAAGACATAGCAACGAAACATTAGTGTAGGGATGAAAGAGTGGATGAGGTTGATGCAGCTGTGCGGTGACCATAGAAACAAGTCTCAAATCTGCATATCAAATGAAACGTGAACAACTTCAAGCTCTTAGCAACTGCTTCTACAGCTTCATCAATTTGCCTTAGTGATTATCCAGAGTTAAAGGAAACAAAAGATCACACCTAGCAAGGAATGTGTTAATACGAACCCAGTGTCAGACCTACTTCAGTCCGACTATCACGCTAATGTTTCCAGACTAATTGACGACTCTTGAGCAAAGTGCGTTTTGGTGATGTGTGTGTGACTTGCCCAGGCACAGGACTAAGTGACGCCTTTGTTATCCCCTTGCAGGCATTCTCATTATTATAAGACAGTATGGATACTTGTGGGAAGGAGCACACTTCAACCTGTTCACTAAGTTGCTTCTGCTAAGCCACTGTTTATGTGTGTGCGCACAAAGAAATGTGCACACACCCTTGCATTACTGCTTATTAAAGAGTGATGTAAATGGCAGTACTTTCTGCGCTTTAGTAGGAAGTTTGTGCTGTCACTGTCAGTGTGCTCAAATCCCCACTGTCAGTGGCAGATTAAGTGAAGGTGTACCACTGAGTGTCAGATAGAGGAGAACAGCAGTCTCTCTCTCTCTCTCTCTTCCTCCCCCACTCCCCCTCAGGCTCAGCCTCCCACACACACCCCTCAGCTGACAGATTGAGAGCAGTCATCGGGGGGCTGCACTTTTAAACTCACTCCAGAGACTGACACAGCTGTGACACTTGATTTGAGCTGGCCCGTAGCCAATCACATATGCATACAGTCACCGCTTGGAATGGTCAGACAGTGTTTTGGCAGATTGTACCACAGGTTTTATGCCGGAGTCATACTAGTGATGTCAGGAGTGTATGACGGACACATTTGCCTGCTCCCCCCCTCCTCTCCCCCTCTCTCTTCCCTCTTTTGTCTTACTCTCTTTCTTATTTCCTCTCTTAAGTGCAGGAGATAAATTGTTAGCTCTCGCCTCCGACTTCTTGCTCTTGCGTATCTCAAAGTTGGAGCCTTACTTATAAATTGTTAAGTCTGCACAAACAACTCAGCTGGTTCCTTGCAAATCTTGTTTCAAAGGTATTCAGTTGATTCATGATGCTTTTGTTCTTCCTTTAGCGGCACCATATGGGAACTAAGATGTGCCTTCCCTTTAAAAAGACAATAGCCTCAGTGATTTGATTGACAGACGCAGCGTTTATTTGATTTTGTGTGCTTCTGTGTGGGGTTGTGGTAGGGTAGAGTGAATCCTCTAAAGTTCTTAATTAGCTAACTTTCTCATGTTTTAATTTTGTGTGGATGTGGATTTTGTGTGGATGTACAAGCCACCTTACCACATACACAACTGTTAGTGGTAGACCAGCTTTAAAGAAACATTGGTTTCTCGTTATTAAGGAAGTTCAAATGTTTAAAGTGGACCTATCATGCTATATTTGAATAATATAGTGTAGGACCATACCTATATAAGGCATATTTATACTTTTTTTTTTTCAAAATACCAAACAGATCATGCATTTTAGCCATGCCTCATTTTGCTCTATTTGACATTTTTTAGATCTGTTTTAGCAAGGGTTGATTCTGTGAGCAACAGCACCATCTAGAGGCCTGGCATATGTACTACAGCGTCTCCAGCGCTTTCGAACGGCAATGCCGTGGTTGTCTCCTCCTGATTGGTGGAGTTGGCCCAATAGCCGTAGCGCCACTGTCCTGACGTCAGGACAGTGATCAAATCTGGATCAGTTTTTATCAAATCCGTTGCAGCCCCTTTTTTAGAGATTTGGGTATGGAGGAAAATAGAGAGGGTTGTGTTTTCTGACACTTGGTGAGTTCCCTGGAACACCGGGGACACATATTCATGTATAAAAGACGTACAAAAGTGCATTTTGCATGATAGGTCCCCTTTAAGTGACCTTATTTCACCCTTTCTTAATATATACATATTTAAACAACACGTTTTCTTGAGGTTCTGCATTCACAGAAAATGTTTTAGTGACATAAATGTCCTACTGCTGGTTCTGCAACATTACTACATTTATCCAGTGCTGCTGTTGTTCTGATAAGTATGGCTGCAGGGTGTAGCCTCCCACTCGGCATGCTCAGTGGCAATTCTGAATTCAGTGTGGTATGCTTGATGTGTTTGTTAGCTAAATGGTTGATTTGGCAGAGGTTCAGGTTCCTTCTGCCTCTGCCCTCAATGAATAATGAATAAAGCAAATATTTGTGCTTGAGGAACAGTGGGTGGTGAGTGAACTTTGACCTTCGATGAGAGGCACACACACACACACCTCCATTTCACTGAGAGTTGAACATGATTGATTTTAGAGGTGAAAGAACAAGCATGACACAGAGTATGTAATTATGTGGGTGAAAGAAGAGGTTTAATTACAGAAAAGGCAAGATTATTGTGCTGTTTATCAGCCTACTAACTTACAGTTAACATTCTGCCTCCGCATTGTTTGAGCTCTGTGGAGCAGGGTTAGGGTTATGATTATTTCAAAATGTGCTAGTTTTGATTTTGTTTTGCATCATTTCATGAGGTGCTAAAATAAGGTCAATCAGCCAGTTAAGAGGTTGGTATCTCCCAACTCTACAAGGTGCTCTGTTGAATTGAGTCATGTATGTAGCCAAGGGTTGTTCTTCTCCAACAGAACAGGCTAAAATATTACCAAATATTTGCAAATACATTGAGCTAAGAAAAACTATTGATGAATACAGAGAACTGGTAACAGCCTTTGAGCAGGCGCCCAGGTAACAGACATTTTTGTATGGGCCCTGGGCCCCTGCCCCCGTAATTACATTAATTGCATGTCATTTTTTCGTGTTTACCCGGAAATGAGATGTCAAAATGGCTGCTGTAAAAGGGGCCTACTTGCTTCAAAGTCCGACAATATTCCTGTATTTAAGGAAGTATCCAAATTAAATTGAATAGTTTTGGCAAATAGGCTACAGTAGGGGTTTTCAAAGTGTGGGAAGGTGAGCCTCCCCTCAGAGAACATAAGAACAGCCGCGCCCCCCCTCCCAATTATTATTGCTATTATTATTATTATTGTTGTCGTTGTTATAATGCAGGGGTATTCAATTGCATTTCAAAGAGGTCCAGTAAGAGAAAATGTCATTAAATGCTCTGTTTTCGCTGTCTACCTTTCTCTCTTTTGAGCACGCCATTTGAAATGACTCCGACTGTGATGCGGGGATGCAATGTAGACACAGTGTTTCCCGTAGGATGGAGTCATAGCAGCGGTGCTAAGGCACGTGGGCCCAGCATAATGTGAGCGTGGAGCGCGTGGAATTCTTTAGTGTGTGCACGTGCGAGGTGCGCCCCGCCAATTTGTTTTTATGTGTCTGCCAGCACAAGAAAGGCTCTTGAGGCCTAGTACCAGGGCTGGTCCGGTTCTAGCCAATTTGCTGCCCTAGGCGAGATTTTAGGCGAGATTTTATATATAAAGAATAAATGAAAAATCTCTACAAAAGACAAATACACTACAAAAACAGAAACGTATTGACATAGGTAATATACGTCAAGGCGGAAAATTAGGATGAGCGCGAACGGTCAAAAATGTTTTTTCCCCTCCCAGAGCTACCAGCGCAGCGCCCCCCAGATCTGGCGCCCTAGGCGACCGCCTATGTCGCCTATGCCAAAAATCGGCCCTGCCTAGCACATACAGTGGCAATGTCTCAAGATTTAGCCAAAATACACCTTTATTGAACATACAGTAACACAAATACTACAAATCCACATAACAAACAATCAAAAATGAAAAAGGGTCGCCACTTATTATTATTTTAATAATAGCTGCGCCGCCGCTATTTGTATATTGGAGAAACACTGAGACAGGAATAAACGCAGATCATCCTCTGGCTGCAGCCTTGACCGGTACTTGCTTTTGATCAAAGTCAATGCGGAAAACCCGCACTCACACAGGTAGATGGAGGTGAAGGGAATGAGCACTTTTACAGCCTTTTTGGTGAGGTGGGGGAACTCGGTCTCCACAGACAGCCAAAAGTGTGCAAGTGACATTTTCTGCCAGACGCTGTCTCCTTTCTCACTTTAGGTAACTTCACAAAAAATCGATCCATGTTGCCACTCGCATAAAGTTAGCTGAAGTTAACTAGCTAGATTTCTCGTAATTTTTTTCTCACGCTGCGCCTCCCCTGAAGCTCTCTGGCGCCCCCCCGGGGAGGCGCGCCTCACACCGCTGGGCTACAGTGTTATAATGGAAGACAGCTAATCTATTAGAACGACACAATGATCTATTATTCCTGACATTATCTTGTGTTTCTGTGTGATTGATCTGATTACTCTCCAGTCCAATCCAGTCCAGCTCTTGGCATGTTGAATAAATGAGGCTTTAGAAGAATTTACAAAAATAGCCACTATCATTTGCCACATGGATGGGTCCAAAGTTTTGTATTAAATTAAGATGATAGTCTTGTTCTACTTGTAAAAATGTAGCAAATTAACTTACATAATGCTTGAATAAAGTAGAACCGAAATAGTGATGCAATTTTTCCAATGCGTTGATTTCTAAGGAAACATCTTTGTATGTTTGCCTTTAATTCTCTGCATCAGGTATGGAGCTGAAGTAACCATGGTGATGTACCTTGCTAAAAAATAGTCACAAGTGTGTAATTAGAAAACCAGAATTCAGTCCGAATTCGCTTGTTAGCCCACTACTGTAATCCAGCTTTCTAAAAAATGCCTCGGGATTGAGTTGTTTTTTTTCCCAAATCACATTTTGTTTTTGTTCACAATTTCTATCAAGACACAACAAAGCAGTCCAAAAATATTTTACAGCTAGATAAAGATAAGATAAAAAAATAGTCTATCTAAATAATCAGGAAGTTTAATATTGTACACAACACAACCTGTGAGTATGATAAGATTTGAAATGCAAAGATGTGTGCCTGAGGGCTTTTATTTTTCATAAATGATGTGTTGGTATATGGTTCAACAAAGTTATTACATTTTTTGCTAATGAAAGATAGAAAAATAAATTGGAAGCGACAGATGGTAAGATGGCCAAGTCAGGTTTAAATTAATTGTAAACCTACAGTATTTGCATTTATGTGCATTATTTAATGAGTAAAGAATATGTCAGCATTAGATCAGGTTGACTGTTGACTGTTATTATGTGATGGATTGCTTTCGCATCCGTGTCATTCCATGTTTTATGTGTGAAACCAGAAAAAGAAAAAGAACGTGGGAATTCATGCGGCCGTGCTCTGTGAGGGTATCAAATCTGTTTCACACAGCTCACTTACTGCAACAAAAAACACTTTCTCTCTGTCTGAGTCTCTGTGCCTGACGTCCCCCATAACCCGCCTCTCTTTCTCTGTACCTCCCAGGTGTGGTATCTCTCCGGCTGGGTGTGCTACCTCCAGCTGGAGAAAGCCAAAGAACTGCAGGAAAGAGAGGGAAGAGAAGTGACGGAGGAGGAGACGGAGGAGTGGAAGTCGTTGCAGGAGGTGGCCAGATCGTACCTGACCAATGCTAAGAAGGTAATGCATGTCATACAATCTGCCAACGAAACCAACGATTGTTTGTTTTGAATGATACAGTAAACTGTAGTTCATCTGATACATATGAATACAACTGAATTATTTACCATTATTTACCATGTATTAAGTACTTTACTTGAATACACAATTGAGACATTAATACTTTACTTGAGTTTTTCCTTTTCAGGATAATTTATAGTTCTATTACATTAGATTTCAGAGGAACTGTTAGTACTCTTTTACATCAGTACATTTGTCCGAGAGCCATATGTACTATTTTCTATGGAAGACCTAGATACTTTTAAATGCAGCACTTTAACTCGTTATGTAGTATTCTCAAAAGGCGGTATTGCTACTTTTACTTACTTCCTCAATCACTGCACATAGAAACTGTGGACACAAATAGTAACATCCATTACACTGTCACAATAGGTAATACTCCTGAGAACCAGTTATTGTCAGAGAAGGAGAACATGCAGTACTGTTAACATGAGAGGGTTCTAACTAAGCTCCATTGTTACCACAGAAATGTCTTCAAGCACATTCTCAAAGAGGTTTAAATATACCCCTGTCTCTCTCCCATTCCCCCTTGCTTGCACACACACACACACACACACACACGCACACGCGCACACAGAATTTGATGTGTCTCATTCATTTGTCATTCTGTCAAGGAGCAATGCCACTATGGGGCCGTGATTCATGTTAGTCTAAAATCCAATAGGCTTGTAAATCAGACAGTGCAGACTGAGGGATGGCAGGCCCCACCCATCTATTTTTTCTTCCCTTTCTCTTTACTTTCCTCTCCTTTCCCCCCCTCCCGTCCAGCTACCCACCCCCCCTCCTGCTCTCCTGCCACATCGTGTTCCCCTACTGATGAGAAGGGGCAGCAGAGTGGCAATATATTGATGTCTGTCTCTCTGGCCAGCAGTGTAGTGACAAGCCTGTCTAACCAGCATCCAGTGGGAATGTCCACAACTGACACAGGAGTGAGGTGGGCTTTCAGCTGCCAAGAGGTAGAATGGAAGAAACTGTGGAGAAGAAAAAGAATAGCACAGAGCGCTTGTAGATTTGAGTTTGCAAGCTTTGTATTGAGTCTCAATAAAGAATGAAAACACTTGAGAAATAGGCACAATCAAGTAGCTAATCATTTTTGCACAGAGAGAAAGAATGCAAAGGAATAAAAAGGTGAAAGACTGACAAAAGCATTGGGTGAGCCGTCAGAGCGTGACAAGTAAACAGCAGAGCTTTTTCTTTGTTGAGTGAGTAAAGCAACAGGCTCAGAATAATGTGAGCGTTAAATGCACAAAGACCTTGAAAAGGTGAAGTGGAATGTGGAAAAGAAAACAGCCCCACTCATGGTTCACTTAATTTCTAATTTCTCCGCTTTCACTCATATGTGTGTGCATCTATACATCATGCAGTTGCGATTCTCTCTTGTTTATATCAGAGCTTTGTTTCTGAGCGTCACTGTGAGTGTTAATTATTAACGATGAGTCAGTCTTCTAGTTAAAATAGGCTCCAACATGTAAATGAGGCCTCAAAGCCCAACGGCTTGTTTTGGCGCCAGTCCACTTCTCTGCATACTTTAGTGTGTGTGTGTGTTTCATGCACTGTGAAAGAGAAAGCATGCGGGTATGCGTAGGAGCACCTTATGTGGATGCACATATTTAATTATGGTTGTGTGTGCCAACTTGCATATCTAATTATTTGTTAAGAAATGTCTTCATTATTCATCTCTTCTGTAATCGATACTTGTGCGCCTCTCTCTCTCACACACGCACACACACACACACACACACACACACACACACACACACACACACACACACACACACACACACACATTCACACAGCTGAGATGCTCTAAAAAGGAATGATGCTTGGATGGCTTGAGAGGACGAGCAAGAAGTGTAAGAGACGAGCGGAGTGGGAGAATGAGAGGGGGGGCGAGGAAGGGAACAAATTGGATGGTGTGTGTGGGTGCAGGGGGTGTAGCTGGTGAATAGTGGCAAGGGTAAAATCAATAGTAAACCGGACGTGAAATGGAATTTGAGTCTCAGCCAGATAGGGTGCGATTGAAGAAGGATCTACAGAGGACAGCGTTCTATATGTGTGTAAGCCTGTGTTAGTGTGTGTGAGTGTGTACATGTGCGTGAGTGTGCACAGAGGCAGCTAGGGCAAACGGAGGTCAAACGCTTTACTTTTTGATGGGGCTGAAAGGGTATCCCATGAGCACAGATTGTGGGTCGGGTTGGTCCAAGGTGTGCTTGTCATGTAATTTTAATGCCTTTCCCTACGAAGGATGTGACTAAAGGACTGAAGTGCTAAATTGTGTGTCTGTCTGTGTATGCGTGCGTACGTGCGTGCGTGCGTGCGAGCGAGAGTTTCAGCCCTCTTGAGACTCCAGCAACATGCCCTGCTCACACTGAAGAAAGTCTAATCTCAGCCAGTGTCACGCCCTTGTCAAGAAATATGTGTATTTTTTCACACAGCCAGAGTGAAGTCGGAGCAGGAACATTTATTGGAACACTTTTTATGTTATATAGCTTTTACTAATGAAGAGATGTCGAGTAGTGTTTGGTCTTAAAAAGACTTAGGGAGGTCATGATTCAGGATACAGAGGGACGTTGAAAGGGGCTAAAGCTTTTCGCACTATTCTGCAAAAAATCACACGCGTTAGTACATGGAGGCACAATATTAAAAGTATAAAAAGGCTTCTACCTTTTTGATAGGAAGGTAATTTGGATACAAATGTGAATGTACAAGTAGTGTGAGCGAAGGGAAGTCAAAGACAAAGTGCACAAGGTAATACTAATGGTCAGGAGACAAGCCAGAAGAATGAAGGCTTTAGGAAATTAAATCAAAGGAGAGGTAAAATGAAAGAGGAATTCAATCATATGTGTTAGACAGAATGTGAACAATGATGAAATGATTAGGCTTTCACTACATAACCAGCCGGTCTTTATTCTGAGCTGCAAGAAAGGTTTCTTTAAAGAAAGAGGGGTAAAAAATCAATTAAGGGATGAAGGGTACATTAGTGCTTATTATTACTCTTTTGTCTGCTGCATGCTATACAAAAGATAGCATTTACAGATAATCTATGCTGGAACACACTATATTATGCATCCACAGAAATAAAAGAATTGTAGGGTCATACATTAATGAAAGCATAATTTAGATTTTTAAGTTACATGGTGCATTTAAACTTTCTTTCTTACTTTTCCACAAAAAATGGCTATTCCTATTAACCAAGTCTAAAGCCCTTCCAGGCTGCAATATAATGTCCATAAACAGGGTGAGACCTCATTTGGCCCCAGAAGCACTTGCACTCGGTGCATTTTGCAGATTGAGCGAAAGTAATTCGGTTTAGTATTAAAATCCATAGGCCTGTTCAATTCTGTTGCCGAGGATTGGAGCCTTTACTGTCATTATCACGAAGTCAAACTTCCCCGGCTTTTCTCTGCAAGAGTCTTCCCCGTGAATGCTGCCATGTTGATGTATGCCACATCGTGTTTGTAAACTCAGATAACAATCACATTTAAAGTTTCAAATTGGTTTCCTTGTTTTGAATTATGCCAGTTACCACGTGAACATACAATAGCAAAGGGAAAGACCAGATTCATAAGTAGAGAAATACAGTAAGAACTAAAAATCTCCATGATAAATTGCTGCTGCAACGGGTCCACTCAACATTTTGAGATCAATTACATTTGACCATGTTTACATCCCTTATGCTAACAGTTTCTCATTGACAGTGACTGTTTGTCTAATATGTGAAACAGACTTTTTCATTTTGAAACCACATCACATGTGAGTATAAACCAGACTAAAAGTCTACTGCCATGCTTGTCTACTGCCATGCTCTTTGAGGCTGAGCACTGCAGAGCTTTAGCTAAATGCTAATGTTTACATGCTGATGTTTGTGTGTCAGATTTATTGTTGCACTACAGGAGGGTCAGGGGATCATCAAAGTCAGAAGTATTCATGTTCTGGGTAGCATGAACGTCTGTAAAACATTTCATGGCCATTCATCCAAAAGGTGTTGAGATTTTTCAGTCTGAACAAAAGCAGTGGACCGACTGACAGATTGACACTGCCACCTCTAGAGCCATGGAGCTAACATGGCTACAAAAAAAAAATTGCGAGTTGTTGCTGAGGACAGAAGTGTCCTTGCACCCCTTTGTGTGTAAGTGTAAAATAGTGTGTGCGTTTTCGAGTTGTTCTGGTGGTGGTCAAGTGTGCTTTGGGCTGTGACTTAGGACTCGAAAGTAGAGCAAAGTGGACCATGAAAGAGTTATACAATTACACACACACACACACACACACACACACACACACACACACACACACACACACACACACACACACACACACACACACACACACACACACACACACACACACATATACACTTCCCTCCCACTCTAGGCAGCTCTCTGGGCCGTGAAAGTGAGAAGAGAAACATAGGCTGCTGTAAATGAGAAATGCCTGTGTTTTCTTGCGACAGCGGTGCTGATCTCAGCAGCTTTCGGCTCGGAGTGCGTAAAGAATAGCGCCTGTTTGTTTAGCTAGCCGAAAGCATCACAATGAATAATCACATCCTATCCTGCAGACAATATGCTATTGATTTGTTGTGCAAATATCACCACGTAGAAATACGATTTCCACTTAGCATTCAGATTCGCAGAACAATGTGTTTTCTTTGTTTTCGAATTCACTTTATTTCTGACACTATTTCTCTTATGCGCATAAAGGACACCCTCTAACTCTTAAGACTGTAATGTGCAATAATCCTGAGTATTGAGCTAGGACTAATGTAAACCCAACTTTTATTCAGAGTGCTTGTTGTGGATAAACATCTCCAAGCATTTCAGAGTGACATTGGCTGTGTGTGTGTGTGTGTGGTGGTGTGTGTGTGTGTGTGTGGTGTGTGTGTGTGTGTGTGTGTGTGTGTGTGTGTGGTGTGTGGGTGTGTGTGTGTGTGTGTGTGTGTGTGTGTGTGTGTGTGTGTGTGTGTGTGTGTTTGTGTGTGTGGTGTTGTGTGTGTGTGTGTGTGTGTGTGTGTGTGTGTGTGTGTGTGTGTGTGTGTGTGTGTGTGTGTGTGGTGTGTGTGTGTGTGTGTGTGTGTGTGTGTGTGTGGCTTAAAGGAGGCTATGAGGGTTGGCTCTCCCGTGGTATCAGACCCTGTGTCTTGGACCTGGGTCACGCTCTACCTCCCTGGAGCTCAGAGATGGCATCCACTTAAATATATACACACACACACACACATTACAGATTCTTACCCTCCAAATGAGTTCCCATGGGATCGTGTGTCTCCTGTCAGGACCTGCTGTTGCTTAGAGACCAGTCCTGGGGCAAAGCAGTCGCACACACTCTTCTTTACTCTCCTGGCTTCGTTACACTTTTAGTAAGAATGATGGCACTCAGCTGCTTATTGTCCTGAGCTCAAGGGACCGTGTGTGTGTGTGTGCATGTGTGTTCTGTAATACTAAATGGAATAATATTCATGGGACTTAAAGCCATTCTCTCCCTCCCTCCTTTTCTTCCTAGTTGTATTTCTGAAAAGCATAAATTGCTGTTTCAGTCGCCCTTTTTATGCACACATAGAAACCCAGTGTTATGCTTTGGTGGTAGCTCCAGTAATTGTATCACCCAACTTCACTTTGAGTTCAGTAATTACACACAAGCAGAGTATTTTACAGAGATAAACTTGCTGGCTGCTTTCAGAACAGAACTTTTTTTTTATCTCGCTCTTTCACGGCATATTTCACTGAGATAACGGCTTTGATAGTGTGTGTATGCGTGCACATGTACGCCACATAACCATATGTTCTTCAGGATACATTTCTCTGCGTGTGTGCGCATGCATGTTGCAGCAGCCAGAGGAAGATAAATGGTCTTTTTGTTTCTTGTGCAGCTGAACGGTGTATCAAATGTGCTGATTTGCCAAATGAAAGACAAAAACTGTTTACCAGCGTTTTGTGAGCCGTGACTGCCTCCGCTGACAGAATGCAGCTGCTGTTGGATATTTCAGGCACTCTAACCAGCACTTGGAGACTTAAAACCTCAGGGCTGCTCATTTCCCTCAACTCCAAGCGGCTGCTTACCGATGCTGTAGTGATGTACTGTTATCTTCGGTGACACAACGGAAGAGCCTCAGGCTGCAGCCACACGAGGACAATAACGGAAACGCACCGAAATCGCTATCAAAAAAGTCTTCCGTCCACACGCAATAGACACCAGAAACGTGTCCGTCCACACGAGACAGCTCGAACCGCTGGAGACACTGTAGTACATATGCCGGGCCTGTAAGTGGCGCTGTACTTCTGCCACAAAATACACCAAAAGCAGCGAAGAAGACTTCTCGCGCATGCATGGTTGCCATGGTTGCCCTTCTGTTTATTCTCCGCGCTGGATTTAGCAGCAGAGGTGGGGTTTCGCCGGTCAACATGTCCGTTAAAGTTTAAATCTTCCGGACAAAATTAGAAAAGTGCCAGTCAAAGGTCTTCTTTTTTATTTATTGAGCTTTAAAACAAATGAATAACGACTATATAATAATATAAGAATAATACACGGAGGACGGAGCCTCTCTTTTCCTCCCCCTCTCCTGACAACCCGTCAGTATCCGTGGTCTCATGCAGCTGGCTCATCCAGTAATGAGTGACCCGACAGTAAAAATGTCGGTAGTTTGAGAGGTAATTAAAATAGCTAAGGGTGATGATCTAACTTGAAGTGTGTGTTTTGTTCCGCTCATCGCTCCATCACAGCGGGCGGAGCTGCAGGTTATCATGCAGAGCTGCGTGTCTCCTCTCCTGTCCGATTAGACTTCACTCGCGTTTATGTCCATATCGATCCAATCTAGCTGGAAGCTCCTGCTGGGTGCACTGTCCTGCAAGATACCGGGACCTGGCTCGAAACACTGGGGCTATTGCGTCATCGTTATCAGGAAATGATCGTTATAGGGCGTAATCACGGAGCCGTTTGGCCCCCCAGAGTGTTTCGTCCACAGATCTACCCACCTTGGGACCCGTTATCGTTATCTGCGTTTCCATGTCGGCCTTGTGCTATCTGATAGAGAACTGTAGCAGATACGACCGTTATCGTCCTCGTGTGGCTGCAGCCTCAGTCAAGAGCTTTTCACTCACCATATCTCATTTTGTGTAATGCCTCTGCAGTATAATTCACTTCATGTTCCCGCTCACCATTTTTTGCTGTATAACCTACTTTCTACTTAAAAATGTGCTGTTTTTTTCCACTCTACTTGCCAGCCCATTACGCACTTGAATCATCCCTTTTTTTCTCTTTCCCCATGTTCCCCAGCTGTACATTAAGCTGCGATGTGATGACCAGCCGATGTCGGAGCATGTGGAACAGCTGCTCAGTGATCTGGGAGGAGAGCTAGAGGGAGAGGAGGAAGATCCTTTGTTGGATGAAGACTATGAACCCTGTAGTGATGAGGAGGAGGAGGAGGAGGAGGATGCTGCAGAGGCACCCATGGAACACTGACCACAGCCTCCTTTACTTTTATTCTGTCATTTCCGTCTGCTTCCCTCTAGTGAAAGGTTGTAGTGCACTCTCTAAAGTGCCTTTTGTGCTGGTTATCCTTTTACACCAGTTTATCAGAGATGGAATTTGAAGTGAGTTTCACAAAAAAAGAGTGGCATTAAAAGCTGCAGTCTCCTAAATCTCTTTCAGTCAGTTGTTTAATGCGTTTGGTGAAATAAGCTCATACTTGACTAAATGCTTCCCTTAATCTCCTTGACAGATGTTGATGAAAGAAATCAGTTTTAGAGCTTTACTTCTTACCAGCAGCAAAAGCAAAACACCTCCGAATGCTTTACCTCTTATACACACCCACACATTGGTTTTTACAAGCAAACAAAAACACCTTCAGTTTAATTACTTTATCTTTCTTTAATACGATAGCAGCAGTAGTAGCAGTGTTTCCTTCTCAGACTGCAGACAAATGAAATATCTCAACAGGAAGTGGGCTTTATTATAAAACTGTGTCTGCCAACAAACAGTTAATGCTGTCTTTTTTTATGTAAGGCTTCTAGTATTGCAAGTTTTTAATGCTATTCAGTTTATTCTCCTGCTTTGGGTTTTTCACCCCTTTTTTGTTCATTGGATTTAACAAGGAAAGACACATAGAGAGAATTTCACATTAACTTATGCAGCATGTTTCTCTGACTGTTCAAAGTGGCTGGTGGAAGACTCTTTTTTTCACATTGCAGTGTTTAAATTCTCAGACAGGGTTATGCACCAGTGTAACACCATCGGTAAGTGTAAGGGAACGGCACAATAGTAGACTGATGCTTTTATTTTTCTGATGTTATATTTTACAATGCAAGGTTCAAGGCTTTTTATTAGTCATACGTACATAGCTACAGTGTAGTTATGTCAATGGAAATCTTAGGTCACAGGCTCCTCCAACAGTACAACACAATAAAACAGTAAAAACATTAAAACAATTGTGAAATGCAATAAGAGTCTATATAAGTGATTGGAATATGATATACTAGATAAATAATTTGTAAGTTGCAGCCAGATGGATGTTGTTTCAAAAGTTCAGGTGTTTAATAGTCTTATGTGAAGAGCAAGGCTTTTGTACTAGGACAGCTACACAGAAAGATTATGACGTTTTAACAATAACAATAACATTTTGAAATATCAACAAGAACAGTAGCTTCAATGCTCCTTGCAAAAATATATTGAACACAAGAGTTGTGGCTTGTCTCAAGCCCTGATATATTTTTGGTGAGTTTTTTTTCTTCATAAACTGACATTTCCTCCCCAGATACCTTTTTAGTAGGGAGACGGTGTATATACCACAGAGTCCATGCACCATGCCTGTTAACAAGCGCAACACACCACAGGCACCCAGTGCTGCGCGGCCCCTTTGAAGAATTTCATAACCGGTAAATGGGAATGTTATCTGAGATCCTGCTCCTGATAGCGCCCCGGCATCAAGCGGAGAGGCCTGTTTGGGAATACAGGGGTTCAGATACCACCATCTGATAATGCGTGTTTGTGTTTAAGGAGCGTAAAAAATAAAGCTCAGGAGAGACAACAGATATGGTTCTGTGTGCGTATATATGCTGCAGAAAATGATAGCTTAATGTGCTATGATGTGTGGTTATTCTCTGACCCGGCTTTGCTCAGAAATATTCTTATACTCTTGTGATGTTTAATGTATGATAATGCACCAGGAGTATGGGCCTAGAGGACTGTCTACCCGGAGCGATGCTGTCATCTAGCATTTGGCTTTTTAATTAAAATGTGCTCTGGTGTGTATGTGCGTTTCTACATTTATGTGTACCGTGTGTCCATGTGGCTCATCTGCAGTGCTGTGTGATTAATGACTCCAGGGGTGAGTGAACAACAGCGGTCAACCCTTTCTGGTTATTCTCAGCTGACCCTAGTGAGTGGGCCAGAGTGGACACAAAGCCTCGGGTGATCTCCAAATCCTTGGCCATTCTCTCACCTGTACATCAGCCTCAGCTCTGCAGGAATGTTTGCACTTGCTGAGAGAGGGGAGTGCAGTTTCTACACAAGGACACACATTCAATCATGGGGAAAGGACACTCACTGTTTACTTGCTTTCTTTCCCGCTCCATGCTGAAAATCGCTTTCTAAGAGGCCAGAATAACTGAAAGGTCAAAGCACAGAAATAATAATTGGTGTATAAATACATTGCTAAACCACAGTTCTGCAGTGATGATGGATGTTTTCGTGTTCCAAATGTCCATGAGTTGACAAATACATGCATAAACAAAAAATCATTATGTTGCATAGTGGAGGTGAATTCATTCATTAAGCAGATTTTTCTTTCTTTTTTGTACCTGTATGTCAAGCTGTCTTTGGAGACCCGAGCAGAATGTGTTAAGTCTCCAGGGAAACCAACCCATAATTAGCAGGCCCGTATGTATGTGTGTGTGTGTGTGGCTCTGTGTGTTTTTTTAATAATCGACAGTAATGAGATGAGCGGAGAGGAGAATAATCCTGGATTAACAGCTTAAAAATGCATGTGTCGTCATAACAACATCCTGATTGGTATTTAATCATTGAATTACACACAAACACTCAGTTACCATAAGCACACACACACACACTCACACTGTAACCGTCAAATGTCCATGCATCAGATCAGCCGAATGCTACGAGCTTTGTGTGCATGTGCTATTCATCCTGTGTTAATGTACGTGTGTCTCGTTGACTTAATTGGAGATTTAAGCAGGGTGCTCCTCTGAAGAGATTAAAGGGGAAATTATCAGAATCTGAGACTTAAAGCTGAGACCAGTTAAACGGAAACAGGAGGAAGGAGATCAGAATTCAGAGGAGAACGGAGTTTCTACTGTTTATACACATTCACATGTTCATTTTGAGTAATTATCCTCTTGAAGTCATGCGCAAGCACACACATTTGCTTCAATGCGCGCAAGATATTCTCTCAGCCTCTCAAAGCTGCTATTTGGATGTTTTTGAATTAGTAACACCTTGTGTTTGAATGCAAGAGAGGTTTAATGGCTATTCAATGATGCTAAATGACAGACAAACGGGACAAAACAACTCCCCTGAATTGAGGATTGAAAGACAGGAACGGCATGCTTCTCATCTACATGTCTTTCTTTATGCAGTGGCCGTACATTCAAACTGTGAATTAACGACATAATGGGAGTGATGGTTATCTGACCCAAGGGTTTCCTGACAGCCACTGCAAGAAGCCATGAATCAAGTGACCTTTATCCTTTGCAGTAAAACCATTTCCTGTATACGATGGATTTCTTCGGTAATGGATGCAGTGCGCCTGACCCGGGAAAAGCTCTGCAGCTGATTGATTGACACGAAGGGTTAATATCCACACCCTTGTAGGGGCTTATTGTGATCATTAAAAGGTGATATGGTTAGTCAAAGTGGTCTTAATGGAAAAGTGTGTTTTTCCTGTAGTCAGTATAGCAAGCGGTCAATATCCAATATGCAATTCATTTGATTGCTTAAAATTAAGAGTGTGCGTGTGGGTGTGTGTGTGGGTGTGGGGGGGCAGATTTTGTGACCGTGATATCGTCAAAACCGTGAAAGATGCAATCAGAAAATGTTACACATATGTAGTTCAGAGCAAAATGAAGGTCGTGATAAAAGATGGCCGTCATACAAGCAAGGGGGGCACAGGGACCATTGCCCCCCCAGAAACTCATCACATCTCATAATTAACTCTCAGAAAAGTCTTCGTCATCATTGATAGTTTTTTCTGGTCAATAAGGTCTTTTAAATTGTCCTGCTTCTTTTGTTTTAGGATTGGATGTGTTCATACATCCTTCTACAAGCACACAGTTTGTATGTGTGTTATTTTTGTTTTGTGTGTGGATAATCTTTGGTGGGAACATCTGTCTCTCAGAGATAACATAACCGGGGAATTAGCCATGCTGTCTTACAGCCGAGCATCGCATCTCACTATTACGCCTCCTAAATTATACCCCATTACACCTGTGTGTGTGTGTGTGTGTGTGTGTGTGTTTGCCCAGATGACTGTAAGCAATGTGCTGACAGTGTCATGTCCTTGGGGGGACTGCCAAGTTTAAGAGTATCACAGAGCCCACTACCTTCTCTAATCCCTAAATCCATCGTAGAAGGGAATTCACATACAGTTGCTACTTCTACATACTACAAATCCTACACAAACAGGTCTTTTCTCCACAGGGGAGCCAAGCATACAGTACATGAATACAATGCAACACAAATAGACGTTGTTTTATAGGATAAAGGTCCTTTCTTTCTGGCTCTGAATTATACAGGGTAATATAGTTTTGATGTTAAAGCTCTAAACATCCTGAAGCCACTTTAGCTTTCCCTATATGGCACCGACAGCTACTGCGATGTCTCTTGATGCATCAGTGGTGACAGATTACTCTTTGAAGTGTACCTCTTTGGGAGTTTAGAAGCTCACAAAGTCTACAAAGTGATGCATTAACCAGAGACTTCATAAGTAGAATCAGAAATGTGGAATACCACACGATCAAATGCGATGAGTAAGAGGATGCCTGACTATTCAACTGATGGAAACTAGATTTTTTGAATTCAGTTTTAAGTGCACTCTTCTATTGAGAGGCTCAATCCCTTTGAACTTTATTTTTGCTTGTAACTTTTGAATGTCATTTGTTGGCTCGGTAGAAGAGTAGAAATATTATCCCTGCTATACTATTCCTCAGAGGCACAGAGATTCAGTAAAAAGATGTAAATTGGAGTGGAACAGCCTGGTACTGTATGTCACCCTCCTCTGCCACGACTCAAGAAAACTTTTAATGAATGTCACTGCGAGAGGAAAGGTGTCGAAAGGGTTTGCTCTATGTAATAATAATATTGCAAAGCAGATTGTGCTTTGAATGTTGCTACTGTGCAGCATTCAAACATATGAAAGAAACGTATGTAGACTCTGAATGAGTGGGATTGAGAGGACGAAGTGTAATGGTGTCTTTTCTTCTGCACAGTGAGAGAACAGCCAGGGGAGCTAAACGCAGCCCCTCTGACCTGGTTGAATCAAAGAGAAGGGTAAGAGGCGAGACCACACAAAAATGAAAGAGAGAGCAAGAGATGGGAAGTGTCTCGTTTATACAGAATTGCAATTTGGGTCGATGGATCGCTTCAGTAGCCGTGAGGGGCTCTTTTTTGCTCTATGCAATCTATACCCACAATCTAACAATCAAATGTGGTGCCAATAGAAGTGTTCCTGCTCCAGCAGTGAGCTCTGTGGCTGCTGGTGTATTTGACTGAGTGCCAGCTTTTGGTTTTATACCTCATTAATTCACAAGAGCGATTGACTGAGGAAACTGCTTCTTCTCGATCATAAATCAACCTACACTCCTGCGTGCTTACACACATAGCACATACTGTACATGCACACACACACAATGGCAAAAATATGAACACACCAGGGGGCGAATCTCAGGGCTTAGGTAATGATTTAATCAGTCAATGACAGAAAGTATAGTGATATTGTGATTACTAATTTCCACATGACCCCTGTGTGAATAACTCCTGTGCGCTTTTGTGACTTTTTTGCTTTTGAATACAGTGAAGGTCCCAAGCACTTGATATTCATTGGTACATCTGCTTTCATAATAACATTCATGTGCATTTTGTTCAAGTTCTGTAATTGCTTTTACGCTTTCTGTTATATGACTGTTCTCATGCATTTTGCCCTTTAGACTTTATGAGTGATTTTAATTCTTATGAAATGGAAAGACAAGATGGAGTGGGTTGATTTTGTATAATCTCCACAGTTATCAGAATTGGAGGACTGAGAAGTTGTTGAACATCTCTAAATGATAAGATAAGAGATGAGCAGTTTGGTGTGAGTGAGTGTCAGAGAGAGGGAGAGATACTGTAGAGAGGTTTGATGCTGTAACAGCTGCTAATTATTGCTGCTCTATATTTCACACAGTCTGTTTGATCTCCTGTCCTGTGGAGAGAGATAGGGATTCTCTGTCTCTGTTCCTCACAAACTTGCACATGTGTACACACACAGATACATACAAGAGCAAGCTCAGGGGTCACAAGGAGGAGAACGAGGAATTGTGCTCTAATTACTGAATCTAGCCAACACCTCAGGAATGGGAGTGTGCATTTTCTTGTTTTTGTCTCTATATTTATGTCACTTCTGGCTGTTGCCCCCCCCTGTGGGCTGGGCTGTGTTCACTGATACCATGGAGGGCAAATCAATCCAATCTCTCAAAGCACTCTGGGTAGTCCAAGTCCCTAGACCATCTGGATGCCGCTCTGTTCTCTTCTGTGTTCCTCTCCCCGAGTGCCGGCCGCTGCAGTGATCAACTGTTTGGCAAGCAGCTTTAATACATCCGCGCCTTCACCAACCACCAGGCGTGATGCATAGCAACAGTTACTAACCACCATAACCTTTGGAAAGACATGCAAGAATGAACTTCTGTGTTTCATTAATGATGCAAAAGAGATTTTTTTTCTTACCTCACATGTATGTTATCCAAGTAGAGCATGCACTTCAAAAGTTTCTGGTGCAGATTAAGAGTCATGAAACTGTGTGGATTTGTCTTGGCTTTGAGCTTTTGGCATCCCCAGTGTAGTGAACTGAAGGTCAAACTACAGGACATTACATTCAAATGTGAACATTCTAAAATGATTTATCTGTTTGGCATAATAATTACTAATAGCACACTAACATAATATGGTACTTTTTAAAGGGCAGCATCAGCGTGACTAACACAGCAAAAACATTTTCAGACTGATCTATCTACATCTGAGAAATGATGGATACAAAAATGTAAAACATTCATTTGTAAACTTTTATATTAAATAAATTACTCAAAATGTCATTTCCACTTTTTTCTTCCGACACTCTAGGATAGTGTTTTTTCAACCTTGCAAGATGTTGATCAGTATAGACAATGAGAAATAAAAAGATTCTGCCACAAAAACAATGTGGTTATTTTCTTAGTTTACTTTTCCCACATCTCTCTTCTTTATAAGTAAAACATTGTATAATTGTACATCCTGTGCCATCTAAAACTCAATCCAATTAAACATGGGGCTGCTGGTACATTGCTTAAAGTTAAAGGGTCACTGCTACAATCTTCCAAGGATTTAGGGTGCCTGGTTTTGAGGCATGGTAAACCACACAGTATTCATTTTTAATGTTGAGCGTGTTGCAACATGTTGCATGACCAACATGAATCCGACAGAATAATAGCCTGTTTATTTTCACCAAGCTTAACATATCAACATTTTTCATTGCTCTCTCAACAACCGATTTGTTAAATGCTGTGGGGAAAATAATACTTATTTCAGAAGTGTTGCATCGCTGGAGTCATTGAGCGTGGAATAAACATTGGACGACTGGGCAAGGTTCAATCCACATTTCATTTTATTGTTTCGAATGTTATTACTCACTGTCAGAATATTTACACTATAGAGACAAAACAGGTCTTTACATGTGTCAGATATGGAAATAAGCTGTCTTTTCTACTGTGTATGTGTGTCAGTCCAGAATTACCTTGCACACCGTGACACACACAAATACAGTACACACCAAGGTTAAAAGGGCTGTGCTATGCCCCCCGGTTGCTGAAATGTTGTTTATGTTTGTTGAAAGTCACACTAACTCAGATAACCTGTATGAAATGGAGATAAGGAGAGAGCATTATCACTCTTTCTTGTCCCTCTGTCCCTGGCATGAAGGATACTTCAAAAGGCAGCTGGTCTGTCTGTGGTTCAGAAGGATAAAGAGAGGATGACACAAGCCCAGCTTGTCTTTGAATAGCAGGTGCACCTTTCCCTTTATTCTGGGCATGAATGAGGAATGATGGGAAAAGTAAAGGATCAAAGTCTGTTCTCGATGTCTGCTGAAACACAGGAGAGGCTAGATGGAGAAACACATTTTTATTTGAACACAGTCAAATGTTGGGCCGATTCTGTGCATGCGCGTGTGTGGGGGCATATGCGAAAGGGAGTTGAAGTTCATTCTAGTAAAAGCACTGACACATCCCCATTTCAAATAGCAGGCTTTTGTCCAAATCAAATATTCCCCTTCTTTCTCTCACAACTCTGAGTTGCCAAGAAAGATTAATAAACATGGCAGCCACTCTGTAAAAATCACAACGCCTTCTGTTGAAACCTCACCGGCCACGCTCTGTCCATGAAAGACTGAGGGCTCAACGGTTGCAGCGCTACTCGGGAGAGTGGAGCGAGTGGGTTTGCATGGAAAGTGGGGGACTGTGGGAGAAAAGCGATGGGATGATGGGACAGCAGAATGGAGGGAAACAGGGATGATATAGAGAAGGGAGAGAGGTGAAGGTGATGAGCGTGAGAGGGGTGGAGAGGTGGCAGAGGGTGAGGGAGCTGAGCGGGGTGAGGGTGGATGGCAGGAGATCTTGATGAGGAGGAAGAGGACGATGGGGGCATGGAGAGGGCTGCGTGTTGTAAAATAATATGATGGAGGCTGGACAGAGGGGGGAGGTTAGGGACCCTCAGAGCCATGGGTTGAGTAAAGTTCTCTTGTGGGGTCACATGTGGAGGGGGGAGTCTGACCTGGAGTCTGTGCTGTGCTTGTGTTTGCAGCGTGTCTGTGTGAAGCGACTGGGTTTGAGGCGCTGAAGGGTTGTGCAAGTGTGCAGGTGTATATTGTCCCTCAGAAGTCCCACAGTTCTCTGTCTGTGTTGTTTGTGTGTAGTTTGTCTTTGTGTGTGTATCTGCGCTGTCGTTCGTCTGTTCCAGGATTTTCTGCATGTGCTCTCTTGCCTGCTCTTGCAGGAGGCGATATTTGTCCATCTCCTCTGCAGTAAAGCTGATTGGCGGCGCTGTCTCTCCACCCGTCTGCTTGTCATCAGTCCTAATCTGCGAGAGGCAGAGATTTGGCGTGCTGCTGGGGTTTGACTCAACCATGTCCAGAGGACATTTCTGACTGTTGACAACTGTGCCAGGATTCAGTCCACTGCCCTTAGCCTCATCTCCCTCCTTTCCCTCTTTCTCCTGACTTTTCTCCAGCAGGCCTCTTTTCCTCCTGGCCTTCCTCTGGATTGCAGGTAGTTTCCCTATGAGAGGGAGAAGCAACACCCTGGCTGGTTTCTGTGGCAGAGACTTAGTGGAAAGTCCTGGAAGAGTTGTGTCTGACCTGCTTGTGTTGACAAGGGCAGAGGGTTCATGGCCAAGTTCAGACTGTGAACTGGGCTCGTTCGGCTGAGAAGCGCTTGTGTCACAATGGTGTGTGCTCAGGACGATGGGAGCAAAAGTTGATCTGGAGGGCGAGGAATGAGAAAAGGAGCAAGAGGTAAGGCTGGATGAAGTTAATGTGGGGTTCTCTGCCTTCAGATGCGCTTCAGATGAGGGTCCTGTGGTTCCCGAGGATGTCCTATAGGAGCTTACTTTCAACCCATCCACTGTGACTCCTGAGCAGGTGCTGCTCCGGCTCCACTCCCAGCTCAGCTCGGACATGCTGGTGTTGCTGCAGGGGCTGCAGGAGCGTGGACTGAGGCCTCTGCTGGCCCGTGTGTTGACCCCACTCTGGGGGCTGTTTGTCTGCCTACACGTCCACCACTCAGGGCTGGAGATGGGCCTCGGGCTGGAGCGCCGGGTTCCTGCAGATCTCCACACACAGCCCGGGCTGTCCCTGCTGTCTGCCCCTGTCCTGGAGCCTGACCTGGACCTCTGTGTCCCCCTGTCCTCCCAGCTGTCACTGCTGCCCCAGGTCCATCTGTCCACGCTGCACATGTCCCAGTCTACATCTTCTGTGCTCAGACGTCTGCCTCTCCTGCCCCAGCTGCTGGGAATGGGGCTAAACTTCGCCGCCCGATCCCACTCCACGGCTCTGTTTCTCCACTCATTCCTCGACCTGCCCTCCTCACTACCTCCACCATAGCTCTCCCTCATCCACTCCCACTGTTCTGTATCCGAAATCAGATCCATGTCTCTAAAACCTGAACGCCCTCCCATTCTCCTTCCCCTCCCTGTCTCCTTCCAGACTTCACAATGCCTCGAACTCTTCCTCTTACTATGAATGAATTTCCTGTCCCTGTGGAGGAGTTTTCTCTTTCTCGCAGGGCTGCAACCACGGCTGTTGTCAGGGTAACAGCAGTCAATGAAACTCCTGGGGTTGCTATGGTGACCTCTTTCCCAAAACAGCTTTGAGTTACATCCTGGTGAGAAGGGGTGCAAGGAGAAGTGAGACCGCCTGGGAAAAGTCAAAGCATCACCGTCTCGCTCCCCCCCCCCCTTGTTGTGTCTGTGGGCTGAGTGTCTGCTGAGCTGGGAGACGCTGCAGCGCTCTGCCTGCTCTCTGTCTGCCTGCGACTCAGTGCTGTGAGGCCTCCTCTGCCTGACAGAGACAGATACTGGCTCGGCTTCACATCTCCCCAGGAGACAGCTGCTCCCTGCTCTCTGCACCCTCCTCATCCTCGCCTCCCCCGTCTCCCTCAGCCTCCTTTTCTTCCCCCAGCTCCCTCCAGCTTCTCCACTCCTCTCCCTGCCAGTGGAGACTGTAGAGACAACACTCCTCACTTTGCACCTTGCTGATTGGCGCTCGTTTGAAGCCTTTTCTGTCTTTCCCCTCTTCCTCTTTCCTAACTTGTGTTTCTTTGTGCTGGCTTTCCTCTTTTTGCGTGACACTTCTGAGACACCCCCGTTCGGCTGTGCAGCACACTTGCACATTGTCTCACTCCCACACTCACTCCTGGACGGTCTAATGCACATCCTCTGTGTGCCAGGCTGGGTGACAGACTCTAATTTACAGCTCAGGGCTATGATCGCTCTCTCCTTGATCCCTCTCGCACCCCCTAATCTGCCTCCCAGAGGATTCTGGGAGTTTGTGTAAGAGCTGTCACCATGAGAGGGGTCAAATGGATGGGAAGCTTCCCTCACACAGTTCTCCATACTTAGTGCGCATCTCCCTTTTTCTGGTCTTGTTTCTGACAGAGAAATGTTTTTGAACAGGTGTGCTTCTGTCTCCGCGTCAATATGTTGCTCTGCCTTGAAATGATCCGTAGCTTTATGTCTTTGTGCTTTCAGCTTTTGTCTTGTCTGTCTCTGTACACAGGGAGGAGAGCCTGTTGTAAGAATAGCTGGCACACGAAGATCTGATTCATCAGAGAGAGCACACTGATTTTGTTGAGACTCCTGCACATTCTCTGTGAGTTGTTCGGGTTGTTGTGGGTTCAAACTGAGTGGATTGCAACTGTATGAGATGGGTGGTTGCGAGTTGGTGAACTTGAGCAAACTGACAGGCCATCTCAGACGGGTAGAGTCATCTTTCCCCAGCACACACATATACTCACTCTCCTCCCTCCCATCCTCTGTCTCGCTGTTAGTATGTTCAGGCTCCATGTGTTCCAGCTGGGTCTGTGACGGCAAGAAGAGTAAATCATGACTCTGATTATCAGGTATTGCTGTGGAAATAGTCGAGTGTGCTTTTACTATGTCTGTTCTTTCAATCTCTTTCTCCTCCCTGGGAGCTTCTCTGGGGATTGGCCCCGTGTCGCTTAGTCTAACAGTGTCAGATCTGGACTCATGCTTTTCACTCTTACTGTGTTTCCCCTCCTCTGCTGCCCCAGTTTCCCTGTCAATATCTTCCATCATCCCCTTGATCCTTTCTTTCATTTCTTCCCTCTTCTCTCTCTCCTCCTCCTCCATGTCCGAGAAGACGGAGGCAGAAGGCTCCAGCCTGGGCCCCCTGCGTGAGAAGCAGAAGGACACCCCGAGCCTGCCTCCCGCTGTCCCCCGCACAGGGAGAGGCAGCTGGGGACACGAGTCCAGGAGAGAGGGGGGGTTCACTGCAGGAGGCTCAGTATTGGATGCTGGATGTGTGATTAGTGGGTAGTCTGCTAGAGGAGCGACTGGTGGTATCGGGGGAGGAGATCGCCATGGATCTTCTGGTTGGTGGCTGAGGCTGGATGTCCTGGGTTGCAGAGGAGGGGGTCTCTGGCTGCGGCTGAATTGTTCAGGTTTGACCTCAGGACTGCGGTCTCTTTGGTCCACTTCTCTGTCTTCTTGATGTCTCACTGTCTTGACTGTACTTCGAAGTCCAGAAGTTTTCACCGGGACTCTGAAACAGAAAGAGAGAGATATTCTTGATTGATTTAACTTGACATGACTTAAGCTTGGATTTCACTTAAGCTTGGATTTTAATAATGTGTAATGTATTGATCTAGCATTAATTTGACAGAAAATCCATCAAATGTTTAATTGATGACATTTTACAGAACAGTTTTATTCAATCAATCATTAGTTAGTTATGAGTTGCATTCCAAATGTTAACCTTTGTAGTTATGTCATGTACATGATTACGTACAGTACACAGTGATTAGCAACGTTTTGAATTCAAAATAACGTAGTTAACATTTGTCACTATTTAACAAATATGTACAAGTATTTCAAGTTCATGGATGTGGTATTTTGTAATTATATATATTCTTAGAAAGAAGATTACAACAAAGTGTAATTATAACAACACATCAGTATGCTTTTGAGGAAATACAAAATCAAGGAAAGAAACAAAAGGAAGAAACAAACTAAGACAAAAGCTGAGGTTTTATATTGAAAGTCATAGTTATGCCTCTCACATAATCATCCTCTGATTATATGAAAACACATTTAATTGCACAAGGAATAGGTGCAATCAAGATAAGGATTACATGATGTATTGTTTTTTTCATCCAATGCTGTGATTACTTTAGGATGGGAGCCCGAAGGCAAGTTTAATCTTTGAACTTGTTTCACTTGTTTTTCTACCATTCATTTTTCTCTTAAACTCATATTAACCTTCCTACAAATCATCCGCTCTCAGAGAGTCGCCAACAATGAGTTTTCATGTTGTGTTTACTTCACCTGGGACCTGTCTAGGACAACTGGGTGCTGTGAACCTGTGAATACATCCATCAAATATAAGAACCGTTGACTGGATGTGATGCACTCTAACCCCTCTGGACTCCTGCATCTGGTCATATTACACTCACACAGAAACACACAAATAAACTCTCCCCCCCTCACCGCTGGGTTTCCTGTTGCAGCTGTGCGAGCTGGTGCAGGCGTCTCAGAGCCTTATCTTGCTTGCGCTGGTCCTTCCATGATTTTGAGGCCACGTTTCGAGCAAACTCCCTGTGCTTCAGTTCCTTCAGCCTCTGCAGGAAGTGGAAATGAAGCATGATAGAGGGAGGGACAGAAAAAGGATGTGAAGGGCACGAAGTAGCAAGGAGCATGAGAGTGGCACAAGAGAAGAGAAGAGACAGGGAGAGATTAGTTTTAGGAAGCTCCCTGCAGGCAGCTGTCTTTCAAACCACACATCAGTCAGCAGCATTTGCAGATGTTCTCATCCAAAGCTCATGTCCAATTAACTCCATTCAGCCTGGAAGAAAGCATATTTTCCCCGACACACAGCTTGAGACACAACCCAACTGGTGAAAAGCAGATTACAGACGCGGTTGAGATGAGTGACATAAGTGATTTAATGACGATGATGCTCTTGAAATTTCAAAAAGGTTCAACCCTTTCTCAATCATCACAGCTTGGTCTGAGAGACCATTTAATACAATGACATCTGCTCTTTAGCTGGAGCGTACCAAATACATTGATCTGCTACAAAGGATTTTCTACTTATCATTTGCAAAATACCCATTTAAGACACTGTAAAGGTCAAGGATTTTGGCTGGAAAACTGCTAGAACTGTGCCGAGTATTATTATTATTATTAGTAATACTTTTGTGTGTGTGTACAAATGCAAAACACATAATTCAAACACGCCATAGTGTGAGTGATTTTATTTTGAGCAAACTGGTTGGTCTTCACCCTGCATCATACTGTATAAAAACAATTAGCTCAATTTTTCTGTGAGTGTGAGACGAAGTGTCTATAGCCATAGGTGTGCCAATCCTCCCAGGGAAACAATGATTTACGCTTCTCTCCGGTTTCCTTTTCTGATACACTTTAATCCCTTCTTTATCCATGCTTGGCAGGTGTGTGTGTGTGCATGTTGGTGTGTTTCTATGTCTCTGTGTGTGTCTGAAAGGCTGAGGACGGACTAAGGAGTTTGAGGATAGCTGCAGTATGGAGTGTTACTATCCCTCCTATATGTCTGGTTTTACAGTCTGTCGCTTCACATTTGAGCTATAACTGAGTGTGCAATTTACCAGCTGTTTATAAAATCAGGATCTGTTGTTTATTTTATATATTTGTGAATTTATTCAGTAGTATAATTTGCAAAAGGATTACACCACTCTTACTTTAGATTATGTTACGCTAGTATCCACCCATACAGAGTGTATCAACACACACACACATCAGATTAGCCCCTTAGACATCAGATTTATTTATACACTCACTCTCTTTTACACCAAGATCTTATGCTGGAGCTGACAGTCGTCAGGTTAATCTCTGCTGAGTCTTACACAATCGCCTGTCTTTCTACATTATTGGTTGATGCTTAACATCCCACTGTCAGCTCACTGAATGCAGCATTCAGTATTTGCCTACGAAGCAGCACATGTGGGTTTGCATCAGCCAAACATACATGTCTTACAGTGTAGGTGCTAGTGTGTGTTTGTTAGTGTGCGATAAGGAGCTCCGAGGTGCTTTGATGCCACACTCATTCTATGGGAAATATTAATCATGTTCAAGCAGAAAGGCATACATAATGAACGACTGCGGACAGGAGCCAGGGAAGAGGAGGACGAAGGGGAGGGGGAAAGATCAGAGTCCTTGTACTGTAGCTGTCCTTGGCAATCACTGGGAGAGACAGAGAGAGCAGTCTATAATACATGGAATATATGAAGATGAATTCTTCCTCCTTCCTCTTGCATTCACAATCTGCCAGGTTATTGTTCTCTCTTAAAGAACGTGTCCCACTGCAGGCAAACCTGTAGCTATATTTAGAGCCAAACAAAATATTGCATGCAGAACCATTTTCTCTGAGAACACAGGGTAGAGATATTTCCGTTCCCCACTTTAAAGCGGATACTTTTGTCTTCAAAGATGATGTCATGTCCCAACAGCAGGGAGCAGTAATACTCCTGCTCCCCAACATGCCAGTCTAGCTATGTGCCGTGAAGCTCAATCCGTCTGTCAAAGCCCCGATCAATATTCCTTTAGATGTGTTAAGAAGTGCTCAGGCTGAGGCAACTATGGATAAGTCAGAGTTGATTCGTATCCACTAGGGCCTTAGAATGAGGAATGATGTATTCTTATGTAGGATATGAGAGGCCATGCTAATGGGCTGATTGCTCTTTATTTAAAAGGAAGTGTAATTCTCTTGTAATGAGCAATTTTCTGTAATCAGCAGTAAATGCTGATAAAGCACTGCATTCAGACATGTTTATCCCTGAATCGATGACAAGGAGAGGAGACAGAGCAAACGCAATCAGCTCCCATTCTCCAAAGCCAATACTCCTGCAGGGAAGCTGTCTTCAGCCTGAATTTCATCTCTTGTCTGCTCAGTAGGCAGTGTGTGCATGCATGTCCATATGTGTGTGTGTGTGTGTGTGTGTGTGTGTATGTGTGTGTGTGTGTGTGTGTGTGTGTTCCTACAATGCCTGTGGCTACTGTCAGCTCAGTGCCTCATGCAGCTCGTTTCATGTGCCCGCCGCTGGCTAAAACAAAGCATTAACATTGGCCTGCAGTTGCTACGATTCATTTACAAAGAACAATGACAGTGAAGGGACAGTCTTGTTTAATGTTTATTTCATGTTGCACCGCGTGGGCGTTTAGAAGTGGGAAGTGGCATGCCCTGGTTGAGTGATTGCTTGTGTTTTGCGGACAAGTGTGTACACAGGGAAGTGCATGTCTGTATGTTTTTGTGTGTGAGTGTATGCTTGGCAGAAAAACAGATAGCTGTAGGAGAGTGTGCTATCAGCAGAACCTTCAGCTTGTTAGTCCAAAGTGAAGGTTGAAAATGGATGTGAAAGCAGAACACAGGAGCAAACCTGCTTCCGGGCCTTTCCCTAATGGTCCATTGGTCCAAATTCTCATCTTGTCTAAACTGGAATCATAGAATCATACTTGAGCTATGACTAATAGCTCCATGTTTTATTTGGTACAGAATATCTATTTTTCTCTTTGGAGGAAGTACAAATTGAAGAATAAAGAGAATTGTGTAGTAGCATCCTTATGTACCAGTTACATATAAATGAAGTGCTGTCAATCTTAAATTAGAGAAACAAAAATCTTCCATTATTATACACTTGGGAAATAGCCAGATTGTATCTGGCTATTTCTAGTGCTCAAGTCAATTTTATTTACAGTACGTATTTATTTATTGTAACTATATTATTCACTTACTTGTTTAACTACATAGTACCAATATTTCCTCCCTTACTATTTTAAAAACATACTTAACATTGTTTTATCAACCTGATATGGTCTTACTTATCCTAATTCTATGAGAATGACTTTGCTATAATAGTTTAAAGGTGGGATTACATATGTTATACTTGTCTATATATAAGTCAGAAGGGGGGGAAAGGAAGTATATTTGACTTTGTAATTATAAATACTCTTAAAGGTGGGGTAGGTAATTTTGGAGAAACCAGCTCGAGATCGCTAGAATTTGAAAATACACAGCCGGAGAAAATCTGCCACTTCCTTACAGAGCCGCTCCTCCAACACACACGAATGCGCACATGACCAATGAGGGCACGAGATAAGCTTGTGCACAGATGGAAGGCTGACAGGCAGGTAGGCCATCCAGTTATTTTAGCCGGGCCGGCTAAAATGATTGGTCGTGCTTTTTACAGCGCTACAGCTTCCACAGATGACATTTTTTTATGGATTTTTTGTCAAAGCACTTAAGATATTCATTGCTATCGGGATGTTAAGAGCATTCCATGGAATATAACAAAAAGTGTATCTCGAGCCGGTTTCTCAAACTTACCTACCTTTAACTTATTTCTTAAGAAATAGTAATTAGTATGTTTCTAAAATGTTTGCTTGCATTTTAAATTTACTTTGATTACTCCGCCATCATTGTAACTACACTGTAAATCTGATAGATGTGGTTGGTAATAGATTGCTTATCTCATCTAAGTGTCAAGTCTCTTCAAATGAATTGTCATAACATGATAAACTGAACAGAAATTAGTGTCTGCCTGAAAAGTAGGCAAATGCCTACTTTTTTGTCAAAGCACTTAAGATATTCATTGCTATCGGGATGTTAAGAGCATTCCATGGAATATAACAAAAAGTGTATCTCGAGCCGGTTTCTCAAACTTACCTACCCCACCTTTAAAGCAGTTGGGTCTTTGAGACCCCAAAACTAAATTCAAAGTAAACTAAACATAAGGGTTGACACGTTCGTATTACTCTATATTGTGTATATTTATGTAGTAACTCTACTTTATAGTTTATATAATTCTGTTGAACTGCAGTTGGCTACACTGACCTAAATTGCCCTGTATTGATCAAAAAAAGTTTATTCTAATATATCAGCCAGTTAAAATCGAAATATAAAATTCAATTGCAGCACCACAGTGTGTGTGTAAGTACATTTTATGTGTGAGTATCTTCCTCGAGTTAAGCGGTTCCACCTCTGTGTGTGAGTTTGTGAGAGATGATGCAGTTTCCACACTCCTACTGTTACCTGTGGCGAAACTGTACCCTATGGGCAGATTGACATTGAAATGTAAAATAGCGTTCCGTCAACACGCGGTTGACAAACCGAAAAATCCATGACAAGAGATCATAAAAAAAAGTCTGCTTTTGTGCTGTTAAAAAGTATGTGTGTGTGTGTAGCTGCAGTGCCGGTGTAGCACATGAAGGCCTACCTGTTTGTGTGCATGGTCGTAGGAGTTGATGTGGTTGTCAAACTCCTGGTGTCTGAGGTACTGCTTGTCACACAGCTCACAGTAGAAAAGAGCCTTCAGATCCTCCACTGAGCAGCCCAAAGCTCTCTCTGCACACTCCTGGAGAAGGAGAGAGGCGTAGAGAACGAGTGAGTGCGTTGGAAAGATAGGGGGATAGAATTGAGAGGCAAAAACAGACAGAGACATTAAGGGTTAGAGGGGCAAAGATAGGAAGCAAGAGCAGTGGGGGGTGGGAGGATGGTTGAAAGAATGGCAGATTGTTAGCGATTTAGAGCAAATCTGCATCCCAGAGACATCAGCAGTAAGTAATAGCCTCTACATGTGCTCCGCATAAAACTGTTAAACGGCTTCCCATTAAAGTATGCTGCCTTTTCTGCTGCTGATGGCTGTTGGACAAAGGCACTGAATCCCTGTGTTCATGGCAACTTGAGCCGGGGGACACATTTAATGCAGCCAGTGTAATAGAAACCTGCGTATGTACTATAATGGCAAATAGTCTGAGTCTGACTGCAAATAAAGTGCCAATTGTAGCCGACAGACAGAAAAACAGAGCATCTGAAATGCAATGCACAACTTAGTCTTTTGTACTTTGGCTAAACTGTGCATGTGAAATTTCCGGACAAGAACACACACACACACACACACACACACCTATTAAGGCGTGTAAATAGAGCATGGATGGGCAAATACACACGCTCTACACAAATGGCTCATGGACCTTAGGGAAAGAAAAAATAAATCTGCATCCTCACATCAACCAGAGGACTTTTTTATTTATATATTTTGTTCCGAGGACATGCACTGTGTTGTGTACAATAGATGTGTGCTTGCATCTGTGTGTGTGCGCGCGTGTGTTCAGGGGTGTGTGTGCATTCATGCCATGCTCTGCAACAGAATGTAATTTCCCTGAGGCTGGGGGCTGCCAATAAACACTATTGAATTCTGTTCTACACTGACATGATGGGAATTTAATTTGAGGTTGTCACTTCTTTCTCTCACTCTCTATCCTCCTCTGCTTCTTTCCTTCCCTCTGTCCATCTCATGGCTTGTTGTCCCTCTCTTTGCCATCTCTTGTGTTGTCTCAGCCTTTTTCCCCGGTACTTCTCTAAATCGCTCTTTTCCTCCTTTCGCTTATCTCCTTATATCCCCTCTATTTGCCTTTTTTTCTCTGCGTTGCTCCTGTTCTGTTTGGTGAGCCCTGGGTCAGGCAGTGACAGAGTCTATTGGCCCCAATTTGCTTCCGTAATATGCCTGCACATAGGAACAGAGGTGAGAGGAAAGGAGAGGGAGGATAGCAACGCAGGAGAGAGGAGAAATAACCCTGCCTGCCCTCGCAGAAACACACAAACACACACACACACACACACACACACACACACACACACACACACACACACACACACACACACACACACACACACACACACACACACACACACACACACACACACACACACACACACACACACACACACACACACACACACACACACACACACACACACACGCATGCAGGGGAAATGTCCTTCCTTAACACTTTCCATCTAGCTTTGGGTGAAGAGGAGAAGAGGCTGAATGAACCATCAAGCTGTCAGGACTCCCATTTACTGAAATCAACAGAAAGGTAACTAATATACATTGATCCTGTGTTCCTCTTTGTGTGCGTGAGTGCATATGTGTGTGTGTGTGTGTGTGTGTGTGTGTGCGCGCCGCGGTATCGATCTGCCTTGCAGGCTTAAGTCACGACCAGGAAATGATCCAATCACCCCGAGCAGCTTTCGTTCGAGTGCTGCCAGGGTGATGAGATTGCGATAATGAATGATGCGAATTTGTCAACCTCTGGGCTTATGCATGGTTATATAGGAGCATGTGTACGTGTGCATGTCTCCATATACTCATTTGTGTGTACATGGGTGTATTTTTGTCTGCTCTTGGCTTTGTACCCTCTAGCCGTTTCTTCTCACCTCTCTGTGTTCTGTCAGGGTAATTATTTTGAAGAGGGAAAATGTTATACGCAAAGAGGGGTGTACGCACATGACAAAAGGTGTGACTGCATAAAAGCAGAAAATGTGTGTGTGTGAACTTAGGAGCGATTTATTTATGTCCAAGAAATCCTCACATGCCATTGTCCATTCTCCTCACACATCCTTCATTTGCCTTGAATGTATACGGCTCATATATTTTTTACTTTTATGTACCAACACAGTTACAGAATTATATTTATGGACAGACACAGACACATTTATGCATGCACGGTCACACACAGTCTGCCATCCTGATATACCCGTGCTAAATTAACCTAGACCTCAATTTACCTCACTATCATAAATCTGTTTGCAGAGAAAGCAACAGTGATATCCGCAGACCTGAACGGACAGTGATTGTTTGCATGATTATGTGTGTGAGTGTTTGTGCGAGGCTATGAATGTAAATTAGTTTTCATGCATTTTTTTTCTCTTTTCACTTATCGTCAATTTGTGGGGAAAGAGCCGTGTTATTCCTCTTCATAGCTGAAATTATACCACAAATAAGAGTTGTTATGAACCATAACCGGAGTTTCAGGCACACATACGCATGTAATTCAATATCTCGTGCTTTTGTGGAAATGAACAAGTCACGCTTAAAGTGTTTTACACACGGGGTGTGTCAGCGTTTGAAACTGTGTACACTGGAAAGTAATGATATAAAATGAATTCATGAGAAACTCTTCAGAAAAAAAAAAGAGTCTCTTGAGGAACCTCTGGGGGATTTGCAGATTAAAGCTGTGGAGGCAGTTCCCTGATGCAACCCCCCTGTCACTGCCATTTCCCCCATTCAAACTGCCCGTTTTTTTTAATGTCTAACTATTGCAGCATATAAAATAAAAACGGCACCATGGATTAGATGTGATACAGTCTTCACACTGTACAGAGACTTCAGATAAGCATAACTATAAGCTTTTCAGATGTTTTAGTCGGGTGTTCTTGACCTTCAAGACTGCTGATGGTGCGCAGAAAATCAGAGGCACCTTAGATAATATTCTTATCACTATCATAACTTAACTCTTACTAACACTCTGACAGTAAGCTGACTGCAGGTGGAACCTCAAGGACGGATAGAGACCGCATGTAGGGTTGAGGCAAGGTTTAAATTAGTATACAGTATTATGTGATACATATGTAACATCCACTTAAAGCAAGGTTAGGTTAGTAGTCAAGCATTTCCTGTCATCAGAACACACGGTGAAGTGGTTTAAGTGGTCATGAAATACAACACATTGGTCATAAATAAAACATACATGAATGAACAGACTGATTAAGAGCCGATGTTAACTTTATGTACAGTACATTTTGAATTATTTGCTATGATTCAATCAATACAAATAATGAATTGAAATAGTGTTCTGTATGGCCTACTGTACTTGGGCTTAATTGTTTCACTTGTCTCACCGGTCACATTCTTGCTGGTTGTAATTAAATATTGAACAGCATTTTCATGGATGGCTGCACTCATCCGAGAGACAGACAGTGTGAGGGAGGACTAACACACTGATATTCAGGTACAGTAACTCTGGCACTTCATTTTGTGAGCAGTTTACCTCCTTAATTTGATGTGTTTTCGAATAATGGGATGTTTGGATGGGACATAATGCACAGCGAGATCAACTATAGCCATGCCTAAACAAATTAGATGTCTCTGTGGGAGTAAAAAAAGGAATAAAAAGAGCAAAAACAACCTTATTAGAGCAAACAAGCATATGGTGAGATGACCCTCAACAAATTGATCTTTTCTCTTGTGCCTGTCTTTATGTTGTTATACGTAGGTGTGATGGCTGTTACTGTGACTACATGCGGTCTAGATGGTAAGTAATTGAATATCGTTTTTTTTTTTATTATTACATTCGCTGGCTTGGTCATACTGAGACGGAGCTGGTCAGTTGTGATCATTGTTAACAGCATGGCAATTAAGGTTTTAATTGCACTCTTGGTTCAGTATGAATTAAAAAAACCTATTCAAACTAGCAAAAGATAGGGCGAAAAAAGGCTCAGCATGCATAATAAATCCACAGAGAGAGAAAAAGAGAGCCCAGTAGCAACATAACTGGTGGTAACAGATTCTCTCTGTTCAAATATGATAACCGAAGAGAACCACTGCAGGGAAGAGAAAAAGTAAAAACTTAATGAATACGGCTTGCTTTGAGGAAACCATTGTTATGGTAATTGCAGTTGCAGAGCTGTTAAAAAACACAGGTCATACAAGGTCACATGCCAATAAGCATTATGTCTCTCAATGAACCCTTGAACTGCTCAGTATATGTCCATCATTATGTTGATAGATGTTTTCTACTTGTAATACACTTTCTCTCTTTGTTCCTGCATACTATCTATTTATTTTTTGACAAAGGTACAAAAAACATTCCAGCTCCGATCATTTACTCATGCTGCTTCTGTCAAGTATAGAGTTGATTTAATTACTAACAACAGCTAATAGGTGTTGCATTGACTTGTCTGTCAACTGTATTCATTCTTTTAGATCTCCATTATCTCAATTTTCAGATGTTGTAACTAGCAACAACATATGTAGATATAACCTTAAAGGAGCATTAAGTGTTCTCTCAATGCTGTAAGGTGGCTTTTCGCAAGGCAATATTAAGATAGTCCAAGGCCTCTCCAAAATATCAGGGCCATCTGTCTTTAGAATTTGTATTAAGATGGTAAAGTTTGGTATCTAATGATTGAAGTGTCCTCTCTTTTTCTGACTCTGAATTTTCTCTCTCTTTTTACCCTTTAAGAAGGAGAGGAGATGAGAGGAGACGAGATGAGAGGAGAGGAGACGATAGGAGAGGTGATGATAGGAGAGGAGAAGTCAGTAGATGAGAGGAGAGGAGACGAGATGAGGGGAGAGGAGACGATAGGAGAGGTGATGATAGGAGAGGAGAAGTCAGTAGATGAGAGGAGAGGAGACGAGATGAGGGGAGAGGAGACGATAGGAGAGGTGATGATAGGAGAGGAGAAGTCAGTAGATGAGAGGAGAGGAGACGAGATGAGAGAAGACGAGATGAGAGGAGATGAGCAGAGATGATATGAGAGGAGACGAGAGAAAAATGAAAGGAAAGGTGA